TTAACACAAAATATTAGATTATAAATATCAAATTATAACAAGGTATAATAAAAACACTTTGTGTACGTATTTAAAAACCATGGAATACTCGGAATGAGATTTATATTTAGTGATATACCGTATGTTTAAGGAAATAGTATTATTTGGACTTTTCCCCTTTTTAGGAATATAAAAATATTGCATGTTTTACACTCTACAAATAATTTATGAATGTTATACTAGAAGAAATATGATACAACAAACATTGAAAATATGTGTTTTAATCTTCATTAAAAGAATTTGGGATTCGCCAAACAAAATGCAATTGTCTTTGCAATCATAGAACAAAAAGGGACTAAAAATAACGTACATTTCATGAAAAAACATGTTTTGATATAGATAGTTAAAAATTAGATTTTAACAATACTTATTCACTTACTTTTAAACAAATTTAGTTTAAATTATTCAATTGACGCAAATAACACACAAGTTAGTGCTAAAATATATTATGCAGGTGTCAATAGATGATTCTGAAGTCATTTGATTGTGAAAAGGGCAATTTTGTGCCATTAGAGAAATAATTTTGGATTTCGTGATAAAATTTTTTGTAAATATTCATAATAATGATGAGAAACAATCATAATAAGAATATTGATTTCTATTGAATAGTCAAAAACGGGTCAATTTCCTACACTGTGATAGTCATTATCTTTGGAAATGTATGTTACCAACAGATTAATATTCCATTTTTTTAATTCCATGCATGTCTAAAATATCATTTGTACCAAATTATACAATAAGGTTTTTCCTCACTTCTGAAAACATTTTTGTTTCTTGAAAGTTACTTTACAGTCTGTAAAATTGTTAAATTTGCAATCGTTAGAAATGTCCGTTACATTTCACAAATACTAATAACGGCTGTATATAGCTTATAATTACATTCTTTCTTATTTGCCTTAGCCTTAAGTCTTTCTCGGTAGTCTTTCTGAATTTCAGCTAGTGATTTTTCCATTTAATTTAAATAGAAATGAAATAAAATTACATAACATGATGAGAAATGTTTGTTACCACATTTCATAAATGTTCGTTACTTATGAATATTAGACTAATTTTGAAAAAATATTAAATTTTGAGAAGGAAACATCCATGATAAACATGATTATAAATGTGTGCATACTTTCTGTACAGTAAATTAAATGACAAAATGCCGTTTTGTCAAAATTTCAATAGATCAAGAATAATATTAAAAAAACAAAACAATATCAACATGACATCTTTTAAAACACTGTGTTCACTGTAAAGTGTTATTGTTTTAATTATATAAACAAATCAAAATTCAACTTATCATACATGTGGTACATTGTTTCTAATCCAATTAACTTCATAGACAGATAAAGAAATTTAAAAAATACTTCAATACGATAAGATACCGAAAGTGAAATGTTCGTTACCATCTGTAACGAACATTTCTTTGTTTATTTTGAGCAATACTATAGACATACAGCACAAACATTGATGTCAAATTGTAAGCAGAGGTCTATTTATTCATTCTCAGTTGTTCTGTATAAATAAATATCATAATATTGTTCATAAATCACAGTACACATGAGTGTATTGACCAACCTTGTCTTCAGCATGAAGTATTTAAGAAATTGAATGTTTGAGTGTTTCACCTTCAACACTGACATTCAAATATAATGGCGGGTTGTAACTTCTATCCTAAAAACGCTTGAAGTTGTGTTTTCTCGCCGTTTAAAGTGACTGAATTTAAAACTATGTAACGAACATTTCAGTAACGAACATTTCAAACAAGCACATACCATGGAATATTGATTCGAATGAAAGTAGGATTGCTGATATAAATGTTGTTTTTCTTTGCGACACACATTAGCTTTGTAATGAAATAACCAGCCGATGTGAAGATAGTACGTTTAGTTGCATGAATAAGGTAACGAACATTTCATTGTTATTTCATCGCAGAAAGAAGGCAAAGTTACAGACTGAATTAAATTTATGCGGATGAAAGTTGAAATGTATATGTATTAAAAAAGGATGTTTATGATAGTTAGCTACATAAAAATTCGCATCGCTTGTCTGTAGTTATATTTGTGTCTTGATAAGTAACGTTCATAATATTTTTATTTGGCGATATTTATCTTGTGTCTTATTTGGCGACATCGCTTTAAAATCAAGTACAGAACATAAAATCAGTCAAAAAACATAGATGTTATTTTTAATTTTCAGACTTTGATACGTTTAATCTTAAATGATGTTATTTTTTACGGTTTCTTTTCTTTAAGTTTTAAAATTAAGCACCTTAAGTTCAAACTCTGTTACCGGCGACAGTAACGAACATTTCAAAATAACACATTTGGAGGTAATTTACGCAAGTTTTAATGAAGTCAGACAGCTGTTACATAAGGGTTAGTTTAACAAGTCTACAAACATTAAAATAACATTCAATCATTTGAAATGTAATGCATAGTTTGAAAGTATTTCACAGGCGACAGTAATTGCACCCTTTTATTGAGTTTGAGTGCCCATATTGTAGCCTCACCCTACCCCCAAATGGATATGTAACATATATAACTTGAATTCATATAACATGGAAATGCTTCAATACCAAAATGATAAATGTGGCCTACTGTTGTGGAGAATTTTTTAGACCCCCCCCCCCCGTATACATGCACTAGGTACACTTTGATCCCTGACTTTATCCAACCTAACCATGGCTCTTCCAAGATTGTGAATTTCGTGGCCCCCGGGTAATTAAGGGGTTCTGGTGTTAGGGTGGCGCTGTGTTGAATCTATAATGAAACTACATTATTCCTTGAAAATCTTCTTTGCTCCATGGCATCTACATGTAGGAGGCAAACAGAGTATGAAGTTGCATGCGCGAATCTAGAGGGGGGTCGGGGGGTCCGAGCCCCCCCCCCCCTCCAGGAAATTGCAGAGCTAGTAAAAGTATATATACTGGAGCAAATAAGACTTTGGATCCCCCCCCCCCCCGTAGAAAACGTGGACCTCACCACCACCACCACGAAATAGGATTTTTTTACACGTTAGGGAAATGGATTTTAGTTTTTGTTTTTGTTTGTTTGTTTGTTTTGTTTTGTTTTTTGTTTTTGTTGTTGTTGTTGTTGTAGTTTTTTTATGTTTTTTTTTTTTAATTTGTTTGTTTTGTTTTGTTTTGATTTTTTGTTTGTTAGTTTGTTTGTTTTGTTTTGTTTTGTTTTTGCTTATAAAGAAATTTCCGGTTTAGAATTTTTTTGACTTGGGTGGACCCCCCACCCCCTGGAAAAAATTCCTGGATCCGCGCCTGAGTTGTAATAAGCAGATATATCTACATGTAATTAGGTGTTATTAAGCATGACTTGTATATATGCACAACTCTTCATTGGTATATTCATATTCTTTATATATTTTGCAAATGTCAAGTTTCAATTTTTGTATTTTTCTATCCTGTTGAACGTACAATATTATTTAATTTGATGTGTCATTTGGCTCAAAGAATAAGTAACGCTGAAACTGAAAACTGGGCCTACCCCTGGTTGGCCATGATTTTAACCAAATGGAATCACTAGCTGAGGATATTTGCATATTAATATGACTTGTCATGACCCTGGTTTTCTTGAGATGAATACCCTATACATTCAAATAAAAAAGTCGATCTCCTATCATGTCCCCACCCTACCCCTGGGGGCCATGATTTAAACAAAGGAATCTGCACTACCTAACGATGTTTTCACATAAGTTTCATCTTCTCTGGCTTAGTTCTGGAGAAGACTTTTCAATGACCCAACCATATTTTCATTATGTCTCATCTCTTCTTAAAAATGGGCATGGATATTCATTTCAACAAACTTGAATCGTCTTCAACCAAGGATGCTTTGTGGCAAGTTTAAAGTTGGCCTAGTGGTAACAGAGAAGTCAACAAGTTAACAGACAGACCGACATATAGACAAAGTTAATCAGACAGGTGATCAGAAAAGCTCTTTTTGATCTTTGGTTCAGGTGAGCATAAAATTGGATATTTGTCATTCTGTTTTTGCTCAGATAAAAAAAAACAAAAAACAAAACATGGAAATACATCCTTTGCTAAAGACCATCATGCCTTAGTCAACCTCTCAACTCAACTACCACATTTATACAATGCCCGGGATCATTAATATGATCTTGTATTACAGTAATAATGCAATGTCATCACAAAATAAAGAAAATAGTGGTTGAGGTATGAAGTAGTTCTAATTTGTGGTTTCAACATGCATATACTAACTCAGCAAGAATGATCCCAGACTTCATACTTAAAACATTGATTCAGTGTTGTGGTTTCCTCTTAAAAGCAGATGTTGATCTATGAGCATGAAGTCACTAACCTTCACTAACAAAATTGAAATTATAAGTGTTTGTTTTTTACTCATGTTTGTTTTATTCTCTGGTGTAAAAGAATATGTATTTTGATTCAGGAAGGTAACTCTAAACACTGCCCACTAAAGAGGTTCTAATTCAATGGTAGCTTTATGCTCTTAGTAAGAGTGATCTGCCCTTTGAGGTAAATTGAAATAAACAGAATTATACAGTAAATGACACAATTTGAACAAGATTAAGGTATTCTGAACATTATATTAGACTAAGATTAAGTAATCATTATTTCCAAGTTCTTTACCCAGTGTAACTGAAAAACAATGACACTTTTATAATAGGAAGGAAAAGACAGTATGGACCGGGAATCGAACCCGGAACCACTGTATCAGGGGCACTACCGACTGAGCTATCCAGGCCGATATCCATGGCTCAAACCATTACACTTTATTGTCTTTGAACATTTATCCTGGAGAAATATATCAGGTTCCCTATGTTGTAAATAAGCAGAAGAAATTCAATATTTACACCTTTTTTTAAGATACAATTTTCTCAAACATTTGGGGGGGGGGGTGTTAAAATATCCTTAATGTGCAAGTTGTATTACTATAAAATATGTACCAATATAGCTATCTTTAATCATATCAAAACTAACATAATGTTTTTTCAATAGATTTATTTTTATAAATCAGCATACATTAACAGTAGCAACATAATAGAATCTTTCTCATACAAGGCATGCGACATCTAGTGGTAAAAGTGTAAAGGGCAGTTAACTCTGATCATATGTCAATAAAGCAAAGGGGGTGGGGCTAAGCCTAACTATACGTGAAAAATGCATGATTAAAAAAAAATACATACCCTTTGCAGAAATGCCATATATATTTTATATGTGGATTTTTGAACCACAATTTTTATATGTAAATCTGTATCAAAATAAACTGGAACAATTTGTAGAATCTTCCAACACTTTACAAGACCTTGTTGGAACAAAATTTATTAACTTATTAACTAAATAAACAAAAATAATAGGCTTATTATGATTGTTTTAAATATATATGTATACTTCCATAACAAAACAGCATTAAAAGTACATTTGTACACCTATGGAAATTAATAAAACAATAAAATAAAGACGGGAAAATTTTTTTTTCTTTGTTTTGCAATATTGTAATTGCACATAAAGATTATGAATAACAATCCATCAAAAACACATATTATTGCATTAGTAAATACTTAAAGTTCATATACAAATATCATGAAAATAAAGCAATAACTTTAATATTAATGTATAATTATATACATTTACTCAACATACAAAACTCAACCATTAATTATTTAAGAATATAATATATAGGGAAGCACAATTTTTGTCCACTAAGAAAAGTAAGGTCAATGATCTCTTTTTTTTTTCTCTAATACCATACAGTATGACACAAGTTGTTCTACAAAGTCCAGATATTTATCAAGTACATGCAAACTGTGTCATTTGTGGGTAATTATAAATCAATGGCAAGACTTGTACATAGCACAACTTGAAAAGTGCACTGCACAATAGCACAACTTGAAAAGTGCACTGCACATTACAAAACCTTACAATGCCCTCGATTCCTAAAAATATCACTTTGAAATTGATCAAATTTCAGCCTTTCTTACGAAAATATTGAGCATTTGATATGGACATATAAAGCATGCTGGAAAAAATTCACCATTTATCAAACTCGGGTATTAAGTACATTTGTCCTCACATATATACCAGATATAGTGCACTGCATACTAAAAAATTCTGTCTACCTATCTATTCACTTGCATAATTTGAGTTTCAACTGTAATAAAATATAGACCTAGAAAAAAAAAACACGATCCCATTGAAAAACGATAATTATAGTTCTAGCAGCACCAATTTGAAATAAGAACTTGTTCCGTGGCCTTCAGATCTTTGAACATTGGTATGAAAAAATGTTACAATCACATGAGATAAAAATGTCCGTCAATAGATGAATGAATGAAAATATATATATATTACTTTATGCCACACATAATTTGAAAAAACCTAAAATAAAATCCAGACACACTTTTAATCGACATGTACACAGAACGGACTGCCAGGGATTTGTTGGTCTCCCCACTTAACGACAAGCATGTAATCCCCGCGCTCACGGACAATATAGTTAATTTTGTACACATAGCCTCCCTGGTTTTTGACACACAGTTCTTCACAAGGTCCTTTGGGGCCCATCATTCCAACAAACATCATGTTATTACCTGGAGCAAAAGAAACATCTTTATTAAGAATTGAAACTTGTTTGTTTAAAATCTCTAAATATTTTCAATATGCCAAGGAAATTAAAATTCAGTTGCTGAACCTAAACCTCACTACATTAAGCCAGTCAACAACTGTATATGCAGATTGTATATAAATTAACATGCTCTTTATCAGGTCCAACGTTTGAGTTGAGCCACTGTGCAACAATACTCAGCATCTGAACCTCATTTAATATTTGAAAAGTACTCACCAGCTTGTGAAGTGTCGACACTAAACGTGGCTTGTTTTCCTCTGAATGCTTTCTTCAGACCCATTCCCTCCGCGGTACACCGGCTAGCATCAGACTGGAATTTCTGTAGTCCACTGAACTTACTCATAACACTGGTCTTTGTTACTGTTTCCACGACAACGGAGGCCTGTTCATGGTATCCACTTGGTTTGCCTGGTCCTTTAACAAAAACATTGAACTTTCTCTCAAAATCTAGATTACATTATGAAATTTGGGAGAGAAATAAACACATTATTGTAAATCAACTATTACATGCATATACAATATTTTTTTTTTATTCATGATTTGCAAGTTTGAAATCCATCCACTACTATTAATTTTTGTGACTGAGGTAATATTTTATATATTAAATATACTTTTAACTTAATGGTTTACGATGAGAAATATTCCTGAGTAAAAGAAGGTCATGGAACTTATATTAGTGGATATTTCTTGCTCAAGAATAACAAAAGGTTTACTGTATTTCATTTACGTAGAGGTCAATGTGCAATACCACAAATTTATGACAATCCATCTCTTTCTGAGCCCTTACCTTCAATCTTGGCTTTGAAAGGACTACCAGCAATATTGACCCCAGCGTATCGGATACTGATCATGTAGTCTCCGGGGGCGGTGGGGCTGTAGGTGAACTCATAACCCTCGTCCACTTCTTTACACTCCAGTTTGACCTTGGAGGGTCCCTCTACAGTGACTGCCAGGGCACCTGCTCCAGCGTTACAGGTGTTGACAACAAATTTACAAGTTTGACCTGAAAGAGATGATAATGAATTTGCAGCTTTTCCATGAAGCTCAATATTTTTTTTTTAAATAATAAAATCACCAAACTTGGGTAGATGGGAAGGTTTTAATTATATAAATCAGGAAAAGTTGATACACTGTACTAGTGCTCAGCAGCATAACATCCTAAAAAGTCCAAATAAGAAGTAAATTTCTTTCTATTTTTGTACACCCCTGAGTTGGTCAAGCGTCTCACCTGTCTGTCCCGTGCGGAGTCCATCTCCAGATGCTGTAACCATGCCTGGGTCAGCGTCCACTTTACCGACAAGAATTCTGAATGGACTGTCTGGGATGTCACATCCATCAAACGTTACAAACACATTGTGAACTCCATTCTCTCTGGGGATGAATCTGACTGCATACTCTCCTGATAGCAAAGAAATCCATTATTGTATCACTGATCATTATTTCAATTCAAATTTTAATCACTGCAAATGTGTTTAGGAATTTGCAAGTGCAAAACAAGATTGAGTCAAAGGGAAATAACTCTTACCATCATCTATTTCCTGGATGAGAGCCTCTTCTTCAGTTCCTGATGGGGAGATAACTCTGGCTCTGAGTTTACCCTTGGAAGCACCATTGAAGTTGACAACAAAGGCTGCTGGTTTTCCAACCTAAAATGAAGATAATTTTAAAGTCTAGAACTTTACAAATACCTAACATCAATCATATGGAAAATTTTTTTTGCACTGTATTATTTTCATCCTATCACATATGCAATTACTCCCCATTGAAATATGACCTTTCACAGTTGTGTTTAAATAGTATAATTTTTCTGTTGATGTACAAACCACAATAGGAAATATGTGACAATAAATCTATGGTACATACATTTCTTCAACAAACCTAGCCATGTCTAAATCAAAATTTCAGGATTCAAAGCTAAGTTGAGACATTTAGAAATATAAAATGTATACATATTATACCTGCAGTCCCTTCTGTTGCAGTGCTGCTACAGACAGCTTTCGGGCATCCCCAATACTGGGTGTGATGTAGACCTTGAAAGGGGACTCGGGGATGTGTTCATCATTGAATTTAACAGACACCAGGTACTCCCCTGGTTCAGTGACCACATACTTCACACCACAAGACCCATCCTTACGGTCATCAAAGTCTAGTTCCGCTTTAGAGGGACCCTCCACAGCAATGGACAGACCGCCAGCACCAGCCTCTCGTGTGTAAATGTTAAACTCACCTAGAAAAGAAGAAATTTTTTTTTCATCAATATTAAAACAAAATTAAATATGAGAAAGAAAAAAATTCAACTACATCAAAAAATGTTCTTTTCTTTTTTGATTTTTTTTAACATTACAGCTAGCATTTTCAATTTACAGACCCCCTCCCATTAAAAAAAAAACCTGGATCCACCCGAATTTTATATTACTTACATGGTTGGTTGATTTCTCCCTTCTCCAGACCTGGACCAGCAGCATGGACCTTATGTGATCCACCTCCTGTGATGGGACCCACAGTAAACTCGAATGGACTTCCTTTAAACATCAGGGAAATAAAATTATAATTCCCTGTTTTACAATGAAGTCATGAAAGATTGATATCTGAAAGAGGCTTTTTCCTCAAGATGTGATCATCATGGTTATAGATAAATTGTACATAAGCTGAGTCTAACATTAGAAATGAAATTCCTATAAAATATTAAGTTGTACAAAATTAATAGTAAGCAATGCCCAATAAAGATTGCATTCATCAGAGCTTTTTTTTTATTTCTATCATTACCAAAATAGCTCCTGGTGTGGAGAAACCTTGACCTTTGACCTACCTGGGATGTGCATGTCCTTGTGTTTAACACTAACTGTGTGGACGCCCATCTCCTTGGGAACAAACTTAATGCTGTAGTGGTTATCGTCTAGACTGACAATGTCACACAACTCAGTCACACCGGAGGGGCTGGTAACCGAGGCAGTCATGTCGAAAGGACTGGTTCCTATGGAAATATTAAGAGGAATGAATGACCTGATATTGCTAAAGAACAAAACAAAAAAGTTCATAGTGCTTAACTGTTCAAAAAGTTCATAGTAGATTTGAATTTCATCAACAACAGGAAAGGACAAACACTGTCAGAAATTCACACCTGAAACTAAAGGTAAAAAAAATTCACACCTAGGATTGCTAAAATAGGAGGATCAAAACTAAACTAAACTAAAAGTTGGATGGCAACGTTTCTTACTTCAAATAGGCAAAACAAACAGGTTTCATGTGAAAATGTATATGGGTTTCAGATATATAATTTGTTCGCAGTGCTTGGTTCAAAAGGGTTTTTGAGAACATTTTTGCTGCTTGACAATCAGACAAAATCAATTTTGCTCCATACATTTGCAGCTTGACAAAAAGAATCTTTTTATTTCATTTTCTTGGAGACTGGAGAGTATCTAGGGTGTTTTTTGAGGAGGGAAAACTCCAACAAACATCTCCATGGTAACCACAACAAACCTCACCATGGCAACAAGCTATACCTGTTGTCGTTTGAATTTGAGTTTCCTCTTGGTATTGAGCGCATCTTGCAAAGAATGCGACTAAAAATAGATAATTAAAACAGTGCATCTAAATATAGGTAATGAAGTATAGATTTAAACATCTCCTTAATGATGGTTATTTATATTAAATAACAACTTCAAATGAGATATAAGAAAATTATTACTGAGATGAAAAGGCAATCAACCTGCAGAAGTACTTTACAAGATACATTAAAGATTTCAATCTAGATTAACAGGCTCTTGTGCGAACATCAAGAATGGCATCAAAGTCTACACACACACTTCAGACATTTGTGGAATGCAGAGAAAATAAAAGTAAATCCAGTGAGAGGAGCCCGGCTTCTGATCGTCTGCCAACTTGTGATGTTGTGCATCATACGAGGAGATCAGAACCACAGACAAAATATCAGTTACGATCACGTCTGCTACCCCTGCAGGGCCAGCATGGCACACTTCAGGAATTACTGTTATTTCCTGAGGAGACGATTTAGAGCTCCTTAATTAACTCTTGATTGCTGGTTATAAAATCTCACTTCAACTTCTTACTCAACCAATGTAAACAGGAGATTTAACTAGAAATGTTTCCAATAAACTGTTGATTTACATCTATCAGTTTTTCATTAGTTTTTGATTCCACTGTTTTATGTACAAAATAATGTGTAAATGAAACTACCAATCGTAAGATTAACTGTGGATTGACTGTTAATATCTCCCCAAATTACCGTGACATCATTCTGCTTTTTTCTAGAGATTATTTATTTGAGTTGAGAACTTCCAGAAATCCATGTTTTTAGAGAAGAATGTAAACACAATTTTTATTACTGATAAATTAATTTCAATAAGAAACTCCTTACAAATAAGAAATAGGTATTGCCAAACATTATTTTTATGTGTGCATTCCTCTCATTAAATAATTGGAAAGTCAACCTTAGTTTGTTGCATAATTTGTTATCTGTTCACTTCTTCGTCAATTTGTTCTAAATCTTTCTAAGCTTTCAGAAAAAAAAAACATCTTCCCTCCATCAATAATATCTGTTCAACTGACACTGTTATTTTGTCTGTGTCTAACTTTATAATTGAAACTCATGTGTCAACCTCTGCAAATGACTCCAAAACACCAGACTTATGTGACTCAAGGAACTCACCAATCCGAGTTACACTCAGACATTAACCTTGATTCTTGAGACTTCTGCAAGAGACACTTACTTAAAAGTTCACCTTTCTGTAAGTGTCACTCAAAAAGTAACCCAGAATCTTTAGACTCAAAAACTAACTCAGAATCTTGAGACTTATCTGAGTGACACTCATTAAAGTTTATCTTTGTGACACTCAAACACTAAATTAGAATCTGGAGACTTGCATGAGTGACATTCATTTAAGTCTGTGAGTACTATTAGTTACACAGTTTTAATCGCCAAGACAGATATGAAATTTACTAACCAGGTATCATCCCGTACCCTGTCACTACAAAACTATGTAATGAATTTACCCTATCTATGACATATAATCAGATGTCTATGAATGTAAAAATGTTTCTCTCCACAATAAGTTTCATCATCATTATGATGTCACATTGAGTTACATAACATAGTTTTGTGAGCTTTTTGAGCAGTAATAACATACAGATGGTTTTTGAAGAATTTGAGTAAAGGGATAGAAAGGTTCCATAATGTGTGCTCGTCACTGACATTAGTTAACTTTTTGATTGTCAACAGACACTCAGCAAACCTTGTGTCTATTGACAATCAAAAACGAGGAATTTGAGTTGGAGAAAAAAACGGTAACTACTTCACATATGTAATGGAACCTATTTCTTTTTTTCCATGTCTTTTGCTTTAGAGACTTACAACTTTACTTCTGTCTGCATCGTTTCAGCTTTTTTGTTTACAGAAGAAAGATCTTAGTGTTATAATAGAATAATAACTCCATATTGACTGTGTTTTGATTTTCAAGTAATGTGTACAAGTAATATACCTCCTTCCCTTCATGTGACAGATGTCAACCAATCGTAAGCCAGGATTTCATTGAAATATTATCAGAGGTGGGGTAAAATGTAATACTCAACTACTTAACTCAGACTGTTGAGAAGAAACTCATAAGATCTTTCTTTGCAAGTAATAATCAAACATTAACCTTGAATCTTCAGACTTGCATGAGTGACATTCATTTAAGTCTATCTTTGTGAGCAATACTCAACCCCTACCACAGAATCTTGAGACTTATGTGAGAGACACTCATTAGAGTCTATCTTTGTGAGTAATACTCAAACACTGACCTGGAATCTTGAGACTGAGTTCACATTGACTTCCAATGTGAGTAATATCTGCTGCCTCTCTGTGACGGGTAATTCTCTCGGTCATCCTGGACGACGGCTCACCACCAACGTTAACATTGAAAGGAGAACCTGCAGGAAAGTGAGTCAATGTAACACTGATAGATCTGAACAGGCAACCAAATAAAGGCACAAGTTAACAATATTTTTTACATCTGATTAAATGGCATCTTAAAACAGGACACCACAAAGCGGAGCATCCCCTCACAGAAAAGCATATCAATCCCAATGTAAATAATTACTTGCGCAACTTCCACTAGGCACGCACTCACTCACTCACACATATACATGCATGTTACTATATCCCATCCAACTTTGCTGTGAGGGGATAATAACATGAGAAATCTGACTTAGAGTCAACAAACCTTACGAGTCAATAAAAATTGTTAACCTCAGAGGTTAAGTCAGAGTCAGTCATAACAGGAAATGTGGAACACTTACCAAACTCAATTTAGAATAGCGTTTACTCCCACAATTTTAATTATCAATGATAGAAAATTTATAATCTTTCCTGCAAAATGCTACATGCAAAGTGCATCCTCCAGTAACATGTTGGATTAGCTTCTTACCTGGCACGTGTTCGTCGGAGAACTTGATATTAATAATGTAGTTCCCGGGTTCGGTGGGTTTGTAGGTCACGCGACACGACCCGTCTTCGTTGTCCAGACACTCAATGTCGGCCTTACTGGGGCCCTCAATGGACAGGCTCAGACCACCATATCCTGTCAGAAATTAAAACCGTTAATGACCATCGTCTATAAACAACAACAACGATCTCATTCTGTGTCACAACTATAAAAGTAAATGCAAGTAGATAGACAATATTGATATTGGAATTAAAATAACTGTATGTGAGCTTACATTAGCAGGGTTCTGATTTTTAAATGATAAATTTGTTAATGTACTGATCATGGCCAGATTGAGATTACATTTAAGTGATAATTGTAAATGACGTCAATGCTTATTCATTATTGAGCTAACATATTAATGTCCTAAAATTAGAATACCCTAAAAAGTACACCACCAGTATCAAAAAATTAAAAGTTCATAGATTAGAATTTTAAAAAAAAAATCGAAAAATTTAAATTTTAAGATGAGTTCAAGATCACAAATTGACCCCATTATTTACCTGCATCTCTAGTGTCCACCATGAACTCATTAATCTCATTAGCCATGCCGCTCTGTAATCCCTGTCCAGCGACGCGGACTTTGCTAGCATTCCCGAGTTCGCTCTCACCAACAATAATTTTGAAGGGGCTGCCGTTAATGTGCTGACCATTTCTGAAGACATTTACCAAGTGTTCACCAACCTCGCGTGGAGTAAAGGATATTCCTTAAATAGAAAATATTGTCATTAGAAGGTGTTTTGTCCATACTTGAAAACCTTACATCCAGAATAAACCTCGTAATCAGTTTTATACTTTTGCTTTATGCATTCATGTATTTGGACTGTTTTAAATCAATTACCCTATTTGCAAACTGCCTACCAATTTTACTTTGGTAAATACATGTATGTGAAAACATTCCTATCTGTTACATAAATGTAGCCATCTGAGCTTTCTACAACAAGAGAAGTTTACATTCATTTACCTGTTATTCTACAACATGCTGCAGCTATTTCTTACCGAGATGTCCATTAGCCAATCGTTTAAGCAGACATGGTTCCTCGCGGCCAGAGGGTGACCGAATGCTGGCCGTCAGGTTATTGATGTCCTGTTCCATGACCTTCAAAGAGACTTCGCTACTGCGTCCGATCTGAGCCTTTCTGCGTGGTTCCCCAGCGGTGGCTATCGAAGGGAGATAACACAAAGTGATAATTGATATTCCATGAAACTACTGATAGAAAAATGTCAGGTCCCAAATGTAGGTTAACAAGTTCACACTACTAATAAAATGCTAATTGAAAATCAATGAATAATGAAGTATGCTCATGTTCTTTAGTGGTTTATACATAAAAAAAAAAAAGGATGAAATGTTAGAAAAAAATTACATAACTACATGCTAAATGAAGTAACAATCTTCCCTGCTTTTATTTTCTCTCAAGTATCGACATTTTATCAACCAAATCCACAAAGAAAAAGAAGTCAAATGATATTCAAGTTAAAAACAATATGGCCAAGGAAAGTTTTCACTCTTAGGAGTTTCAATTCTGAATCTGTAAATTAAAGGAAACTCACGACTAATTTTGGCAGTGAATGGTGATCCGGAGATGTGGTTGTCTGCGAATTTGACGGTGATGTTGTATTCTCCCGGGGCGGTGGGGATATAACTGACCGTGCAGGTTCCGTCACCATTGTCCACACATTTAATCTCTGTCTTAGAAGGACCCTCAATGGCCAAAGAAAGTCCACCTAGCAATTCACAAAAATAACTTTCAACATACTAATTCACTATCAACAGTGTCCAAAAACAAATGCCAATCATTTAACTAAAGTTTTTATTAATCAATCTGCAGTTGCCATTTTTCCAATGTACCTGATTCTCACAAAAATTTGTTTTATAAATGCCAAATCAATGAAAGATGATTTGTAGAATCTTCAAAACATAATTAACACCAAACAACTATTTACTCGTTTTTCTTTGTTTAATCCATTTATAAGAGGTTTCCTTAAAGTTGTTTCTCACACAAAGATTGCAATACAAACAATGCAATGCCCTATACACCTACGTCTTTATCAAATGCAAGCTCTTGGGTAATACTTAGAAATGTCAAGATGATTACAAAGAAAATCTGCCTTTTCTCTTGCAAATTACATAATCACTGAAATTTACAGCAGTAAAATATACTTTTCTTCCAAGCAAACTTTATCACAGTTATTTTGTATTGAATTTTTTTATGTAATTATAAATTAATAAAAATTCACTTTGCTTGGTTGCTATGACAGCAATCTATTTCACGTTCTTACCTGCACCTGCGTCTTTGGTGACGATGGTGAATTCTGCCGGCTCGTTAACGATTCCATGACAGAGACCTGGTCCGTAAGCAGTCACATGTCCACTGTTAACGGCATCCACATGGAATTTGAATGGACTTCCTGTGAACAAGATTAAAAATAAACCTTCAAGGACATAGCCATAAAAACAATCTATCAATCAGAAATATAAAGAAACCAGCTATTAAGTGAAAAACTTTGAGAATAATTTAGTGAAGGAAGATGAGTTACACATTTTTTTCCACAAATTTTAATAGTTCCACAACTATAGCTCATGAAAAGATTGAAGAAGATGGTTGCATGTTTTTCACAAATCCCAAAAGTTTTGCAACAGCTAGCTATAGCTCACAAAAAAGACGTCAAAGAAAATTGCACTCAAAAAAAGTAGTAAACATTGCTGGACATTGAACCTGGAAGATGATCCAGAGTAAAACTGAATCTTTGCCTTCTTCTCCTGGTCTCCATTACCTCACCCCAACACAGCCAAAATAATTATTGAACAGTTCCTATAACCTTATCTATTTCTGATATTTTGGCACTACTGACTTTCTGTGTATCTCTAGTTAACCAGGGGCCATGAGTTGTTTCTGAGATAACGGGGAATGAAGTAAAACGAATGAATTCTGGGAATCCTAATCAGGTATCTGCTTAATCTATCAATTTCTCATGATCCATCACTCAAGGTGAAATATTTCCTATGATAGTGATCGTGTTAATTGTATAAGCTCCTTTCACCTACCCTGTTTTTATTCTCAATTGGGAATCTTCTGCATTTTCCATTTCAAATATTATACATACACTAAGAAGACTCTTCAATTATGTTATAAATTTGTTGTAATTGACCATAACCTTCAATATAATCACCATTATATTTGACCTTTACCTTCAATATAATCATCGTTATATTTGACCTTCACCTTCAATATCATCATTGTTGTAATTGACCTTAACCTTCAATATAATCACCATTATATTTGACCTTTACCTTCAATATCATCACTGTTGTAATTGACCATAACCTTCAATATAATCACCATTATATTTGACCTTTACCTTCAATATAATCACCGTTATATTTGACCTTTACCTTCAATATAATCATCGTTATATTTGACCTTCACCTTCAATATCATCATTGTTATATTTGACCTTTACCTTCAATATCATCATTGTTATATTTGACCTTTACCTTCAATATCATCGTTGTTGTATTTGACAAAGAGTTCGTGAAGTCCGGTCTCAGTGGGCTGGTATCTAACGGTGACGGTACCATCCTTGTTGTCCTGGATTTTGGGGTAAGCCTTCTTTCCAGAGGGCATGACTACATATGCTGCAAAAAAAATTAAACATAATGGATGTCAGTTTTCTGATATCATTGTTATATACCTAGGGCACTTTATTCATATTCAACATTCCTCTACAGTAACTTTTCATTTTAAAAATTCTGTTTTTCCCTTATTTTTGCAGTTTTAAAATTGTTTAATCAATATTTAAAGATTTCATCTGTAATTCTAATCTCCAAATGAATAGTCACTTAATACAACAATTTCACGTGCATGGATTAAGTGTCTCAGATTCAGAAATCCAGTCAAATTTTGTCAAACTTGATGGGACCAAGAAAAAAACTCCAAGATACCTAAAGATGTGAGATATTGGCAATAAAATACACTAAGAAAAGGTAATTAGGACTTCCTATTTGAAATATTTCGACATATCCATGGTACATGAGATATATATATCTAAGATCAAAATACCGAAGTTCAACTGTATACCATACATGTAACGACAAGTATCATATGCTGTGTCCCCCCCCCCCCCCCCTTTATATGGAATAATTTAAATCACTAACCAGAGACAAAGTTGAAGATAGGTCCGACAGGGATACGGATATCTACTGGTTGGAACAGCCCTGCCCCCGGGGCGCCAGCATGTACTGCGTCAACTGTGTCTGGGGAAATCAGATCTTCTGTGGCACCAACCTATTAACAAGGAAGATAACTCTTCTTTACACCTAACAATTTATGCCTGAATTACCTCCCTTTTGAGGAAATCTATCATGCAAAAACACATGCTATTAAATATCGCATTCTAGTTCTCTAGAAAAAAATTAATAACATTATTCACCTTCATACATTGTCAAGATAAATTTCAAGATAGTAACTTCAGAATGAAAGAATATTTCATGCTTTCATCTCACAGTTGCTAACGTCAAGCTTTTTTAGTCAGTTCCAGCTGATATGTCGGACATTGTTAGTGTAGGTTAGAACTTACCTGATCTTCCAGGTATTTCTCATACTCCTCAGGACTAACAGCCTAAATAACAAAGAAAGGCAAGTCAACAAACACATGCAACAGAAACATGCAGTCTGGCAGTACAAGACACACCATGCTTATTAAATAATGTCCCCCCCCCCCCCCTTTTTAAAAAAGATTCCATTATCCAACCTCATCTTTACCAAACTACATGTATATATATCTTTTGATATATTTAATTTTTTTTTACTGTTAAAAAAAAGTGCTTTTATAAAAATGTCCTAATTTCAGACACTTTAATCCATTTTTTAGATATGTCGATTTCAGCATCTTCAAAATTTTTTCAAAGGTAAAGTTCCATATTAGAAACTATCTGATGATTAAAGAAAAATAATGCAGATCTATGTTTTCCTAACTTTAAGAACCAATTCTTTAATCTATAATTTCTAAAATTCATACTGCCAGACTATCAAAGTGAAATAAGCGATCAAAACGTGATGTCAGAATCATAGCATATATATATGTATACAAAGTATATTAGATCTGCTGAAAATAAAAGCAGTTTGTTAAAACATCACTACTGTATGGATGCCAAATGATCATATCAATATCACTTAGATAACTCCTAATATAACTGCTTAATATAACATATCACACCTGTTAAAGTCTGAGATCTAGGCCATAAACTAACTGGGCTAAACGGAGCGAGGGGTATTTCACAAAGAGCTGAAAGTGGAGGTTGTGAAAATTCAGAAAGATCTAAAAGCTGAAACTTGACGTTATAAATCACAGATCCAAAACAGATCTCCTTAGACATATACTCAACAGGTTCTAAATTAACATTCACTGACAGGCATCTATTATGGATCGCATGCGTCTTTGTGTGTATAACATCTGAATTAACCTGCCCCAAAGCAGATCCTTTTTCTTTCTTTTTTTTAAAAATAATTTATTGTAAGGGAAATATTTTCAATTTGAATTTATGAAAGATAAACAACATTATCAGACATTGATTTGTTTTTGCCGATTTTACTATTTTTGCATTTACCAGGTAATGCAACATATGCAACAAAAATGTCCATTTATCAGTAGTAAAAACCTTTTGATGGCTAAAAGCATTCAAAATAAACTTTAAAAAAATATATCTTAATTATGTTTAAACAGTAGTAAACAGTCACACCTCTGTAAAAAACGAGAACAAAAGAAGATATCGTGAATATCAAATATCACAACACTAGGGGGTTCAACCAGCAGCCGCAGATAACCTGATTATCGGAAATCATGTTACGCAAGTGATCCATTTAATGCGAACCCATTATACAAGAATCTTGATAAACTCAAAAGACCACCTTTCTTCTGATTTCTTCAAAAAAAAAGTTATCTTGACTGAGATTTTTAACAATCATTAGGATTCTGAATATTTTCTGAAGCTAAAATCGTGCAAAATGAGAACAAGGGATATGGATTGTTGAGAGGGCCAATTATGCCAAAAATGTTTTGATAGCATATATATCTTTCTTTGTAGACAAGATACCAATCAGACATTATTAACTCTACTCTTCATCATAATTCTCTTTTAATGTACCAAAGATATCAAAACCAATAGAAATTGTAATGGAAATGTTCAAGGGTCTGTGATGGGGATCGAATTCCTCCCTATGCAGACATGGGCCCTCTTATCTGTGATGGGGAAAAGTGTAGCATTATGAAAATGGGGGAAATTTTCACTTCAGTATCTGCAGCTATCAAAATTCTTTAGGAGAAGATAAAGGCTTACTGATGAAGGTTCAGAGCAGAGAGAGCAAGGCAGATAAGAAAGAATGCATGGGGAGACCCTAAATCCAGGAAAAACACAAAAAATCAGGCATAGTAAACAACTCCACACACAGCTAATGATGAAGGGGAACTTCATATTTACTGTGCCTACTAATTAGTGATTTGCAGGAATGACAGACTCACATTCAAAATTTTGTAATTTGAACAAATCTATACTTTAACTCCCCCAAGCATCTTTGCAAATGATACTCATTAATAAGATGAGGGGATATAAAATTCAATATAAATGCATTTTTCTGTGTTTTCAAGCAACATTATCATTAAAATTTATTTGGTAAATTATATGGCATAGCTCTAGTATCACTAGACTGAATTACAAAAATATTTGCTATCTGTAGACACCTCACCACTTAATAGGAGCCTCCTGCTGTATTTTATGGTCATATAAACTACCATACTTAAGGAAGCCTGGCAAGGAGAAGATAACCCTGTATATCTGTGGTCTTTATGACCTAGGACACAAACTCCAAGTCGTATTGAACTACCAACACAAAATCATCCATCAATCACACCCACTTCCAAATTTATCAACCCATTAAGATAACCTGATTAACTTTAATATCCATAGAACTTTAACAAAGAGAATAAGTGTCTAGATTACAAGACATGCCAATCGAACACTCTCAAAAACTGAATTTTTCAAAAAATCTTCTCTGCATCCTTAAATAATGCTGTGAAATAAAATTTTATGCTTTACATGAGGACAGATGTTTCTAGATGCAGTATCTAGATGTATCTAATTTAGTCTTGATACATAACCTATGTAACTCATACTGACTAAATGATTTCTCTGGACAGATGTGCCCAAGAGTGTAGCCATGTTTGAAACATCAGTCTGAATGTTCCACCAACAAGTGACTTTCATTAGGGGCTCTAAGTGATTTTATGCATGTGCAGAGCTGATAACTTCTGATGAATCCGCCATCAAAATGATTCCCTACTTGATTACAGAAGTCTGCAGTTATCATTACAGAGATAGCTCACAAAGATCTTATCTCAAGCTATAGTTGACGGTTCATGTTATTTTAATTTCTAGATCCATCAATTCGGATTTTTTCATCTGCATTTCTGTATTAAATAAGATTCTTTCTTATCCAAGTTCTCAAAAATAATATCAATATTTACTCTATCTTTTCCCCATATATTTCTCTTTATATTAAAAATATTTATATTACATGATCTCACCTTTTCTGTGAATTCACAAAAATCTTTAAAATTTCAAAGTTAGAAATTGTCCTAAATCCTTTAATCCTTTTTTACATTTTTAAATCCATTGCAACCTCAATCTTGACAACTCATCTCACAGCTTAGATTCAAAAAATATTCTAATTTTGAACTTGAAACAATTATTCAAACAAATATTATTCCATCACAATCAGAATTTTCCCGTTTTATCAAAATAATTTCAACCGCAATAAAAAAAAAAATTCAAAGGGACATAATCCAAGGAAGAAAGGAAATTTACTTACAAAAGTTATCACTGACTTCCAGCGGAATTTCCTATGTATCACTGGGGCAGCAGTTACGAAACACAAACCTTGAATTTTACAAATTGAGTAAAATGGTTGAAATGCTTTGGCTGGGAACCCACGCCTGTCAGTCAATTACAAGGGGGATGAGCTTCATTTCACTTCACTTCAAAAATGCAGGCCTTTTAAAGCCAGGCTGTGATTGGCTGCATTTTTCCAGGGCATCAGACTGCCACCAGAGGGCAGTATTTACATGCCTTCCTGGTCAGCCTCAGTATCAATAGAGAATCTGCGACCCTGAATATCTGTAATTGTCGTCAAATGTTTAATGATGTCTGTTGGTACCTTTCCTCCCTCCCCTATCAGAGGAGTATCTCTCATCCCAATCTTTGTGATGTGTGTTAAGAGTGCTATCATGGAAGATCAGATGAAAAAGAGAGTGTTGATTTGAAGTTTATCACAAAATTCCCACTAAGTTATACATCCACAATCAAACACTGTCACACTAGGGGACTACTTTAATGTTTATTTTAAAGTTTGAACATGAAATAAAATGTGCCAACTGGCCTTAAATTATTGTTTACATATACCCTTTTATTATAAGGTATGTCATGGTTAAGACTGATAATAGTGTCCACTCAACTAGATGAAATATACAGTAAAACAAATAAAATTTATACAAAAATAATAGATCTGACCTCATGACATTTAAAAAAAAAAATGGGCCAAATCTCAGCAAAGGTAGTCAATTTAAGAGATTACAAATCATTGCAAAAATTACGTAACACCTTTAATGTAATAAATAAACCCATCAGGTGATTCAGGTCCAATCATTTACTCTTAATTATTTTAAAATGTTGTAATCGGTAGATTCACAAGAGTTTCGATGGGAGATTTTAATTTTCTGCTGTGAAATATCTGCCAATAATACCCCACTAGCTGAGATTGGCATTTGGCAATAGTGTGTATTAGACTCTTTTTCCATGTGGACCAGGTGTTTTCTGTTTGTTCTAATCTTTCTTCCAGATTCCAAAATACTTAATTACCTTCAATAATTCTGATATTTACAACATTTCCTTTTGCCAGCATATCATTTACATGAGCTATCATACTTGGTTTTGCTATAAAATGTTGCAATTTTAGATCATTTGAAAGTTTTGCAGATTACATTATTATTCTCACTATAATCAGAGAAATATCGCCCTGAACAGAGGGCAATATGAGGATATATTGCATGTTAATCTGGACTCATGGTTAGAAATAGTGACAAACCGCTTTACAAATTGAAATGTGAATGAACATCAGTAAAAGCAGCATATAATTATATATACATATATAATGAATGTTGTTAGAGATTTGCATTTGCAAAATTCATTCCACATTAGCAGCTGTGAAAAAAAAAACAAGTTGTAAGAAAATAAATCTTCTTTTCATAGTTACTCCCTCTCCAGTCATTTCATATACATTTTTCCCTTTGCTTGGCTGCATGATCATAACATTTCCATCTCGTGGATACAGAAAGACTTTTCCATGCACAAAGATAACAAGTTTTTTGGGATGCAAATAAAATATGCATGTATATGTGTATATATTTGAGAAATGAAAAAAATACAGAGACTTCTTACCGAAATTTCCCAATCACTATTAGTAAGGACCTAGTTAAAAAATACAAATGAAAAATGAGAACACTTTTTCAACAATACAAGGAGCACATATGAACATGAATAAATGATATGAAATATTTTGATGATGATCAACTTTATGAAATTTTCATGAATAAGGAAAACTTTGAAATGTTGAACATTCTCCAAACAGATTGTGGTGGCTCTTAGCTCCTTGCAAGTCATATTCCATCACTTAAATGATACAATACAAGCATTCTTCTGCCCATATAGCCTCTAATGTACTGCACCCATTCTGTTCACGAGATGTACACCCTACATACCTAAACACGGGGAGCAGAAATTACAAGGGAGATTGCAAGACATCTAAGACAACTACAACATTGTAACATTGGTACAAACACAAGCCAACAAAGTGACCAGTTGTAAAACTGTAGTCTGACCACGAGGTCCATTCATCAGAAAGCTTGTCCATCAACATCAGATAAGCTCGGTTCTTTGAATCCAAATTTTATCTACAAGTGCTCTACCAAAATAAATCTCATAGACAATATATCTGTGTTTCTAATCAATCCTTGTAGACAACTCATTCACACACATACTACATCCCCCCCCCCCCCCCCCAATGTCATACGTACTGCTCCAGAGAATTTACAAACACGAAGATGAGGCAATTGGTGCCATAGAAATCTGCCACTGATACCCAATGTACTGAACTTAAACAATGCTCTTTCAAAATCTTTACACTGAAAGAATTCTGTTCTTAGATGTAGTTATCCAGTATGAAGTTATCAAGATCTTACCATATAACCCTGAACACTGCAACTGATAGAACCTGTACAACTACAACAAACTCAATGAACCAAAGGATGATCGGTCCCTAATTGAATTAAAGTAATGTAGAACTTGAACTTTTCAATGTCGAATGAGTTCAGCAACAATGCTGAATTTCAATTTTTGAGGGGAAAAAAATGAGATTTTGAGAATCAAAGTTATTCTTTCTGTGAACCTCCTTTCCCTTTTTTTTTACTACCAAAACTGGAAAAGGTACAGAAGTGTTCTACATTTGAGTTGAACAATGCCATCACATTATATATTAATTTTGACCTGATTAAACCACAAGCACTGCATGAGGTTAAATTGAAATTTAAGGACATAACCCCAAAGATACAGACTGGTTTATCATCTTAATTTCATTTGTCTTTTAATTTACCACTTAACTCCTTCAATTTCTGGCAGCAGTCATTTTTTCATGAAGTGGTTTGTTTCATGAAGATGTTTAGGAAATTAGACAGCATGTTTTGGGCATTAAATAAAGTTGGCTTCATTCTGAATATCAAATAAGACATATCATCCACGCCAATAAGGCAAAAAAAACGGAACAAAAACCTCCTGATAACAACTGCCTTTTCTATATACTTTCTCACAAATGTCGGAACACTTCTGATGGATAGAGCTAGGTACCAAAAAAATGATTGACACTGAAAAAAAATTAACAAAAAACGAAACGAGAAAGATATGAAATTTACAAATGATCTGCAATGTCTGAAGTGATTCATCCAACCCACTCAAACAGCAGTGAATTAAATTTTATCAATTTGGAGCCATATTTTTACCTGGAGGGCAGCAGTTGTTATTAACAAAAAGCATTTTTAGTTTTTTAAAACAATAAAGTAATTGGGATTAATTTTCTGCAAATTAAGACTACAGACAAATTGTGCGAGGAATAAATAAGTGGCAGCTTTGCATTTGACCTTGATCTTTTTAAGATGAACAATATTATGTTCTTTTCCCCTCTAAACAGACAGGAAGCCATGAATCGCAGATGAACATCATTTCCTCCGACTTAAAATACAACTTGTCATTTTGAAGCTCTGTGGCTTCTGTCTGAATTCCAACAGGAGAAATCTTAATAATGCTCTTCTCTTTCATACAGAAACCAACTAAGCTTATAAACTAGACATGTTCCAAAAACCTTTTATATATATAACTTAAAAAATATTGATACATGGAATTATTTAATGCAGTTTGGAATTTTTTGCCGAATGCAAAACATTCTTTTATTACGTTCAAAAAGAAACAGTCGCATTTTTTGAAAGATCACAGAATCTTTACAAATAACATTCCCCAACACAAGAAGCACCTGAAAAAATAAAAATATGTTGTTTCATTCACAATTAGTTTTGAAATTATGGTTTCAAGTCGGAGGAACAATTTTGGGGGTCCTTCCTCAGAAGCTCTTGGAAATGTCACTCAACAATCTCGGTCAGACTCTGGGTGAAGACTTTGCCGTCTGTTGCTGAGAGCGATATCAAAATACCTGCATTTATCTTCATCTAATAGATCATTTACCAGCCTTCCCAAAATAAGCCAGAAGGGCTATTTTTAGTAACACAATCTGGAACCCATCCTAAAAGCATATATTCATAAAAAAAGATCCATGTCTTCTTCTTCCTTCCCATCATGCATCTTATCTTAATGCAACGTTATGTTTTTATCTTGTTTTTCTTCACAACAAAACTCGGAACACAGATATCTAATTAGCAAAATGTTTTTCCTTACAATAGCCAAACTTCAATGAAAATACAGGATGCAAATTCATTCTGGAATTTGATTAATGAAGCAAACAATAATAAGAAGTACTCTATGATTAATTGAGGTACCCTGATCTCTCTCCCACTAATTTTTCTTCAGTTATGAAATGCACTGAAAAATCTTTTTGATTAAGTAAAACAACAATGTTATTAATTTACTTGGAGTCTGAATATGCAGCATTTGATGGTGTTTTCTTAATGACCAGAAGAAATGAAAATGTTAACAAAGCATGCTGGGAATTCTTTCCTTTACCCAAGGCACGCGATCAGGAAAATCATCCTCATCTGTCAAACCATCAACTTAGCAACTCTCGCAACAACGATTCTATCTACATATATCAATGCATGTTCTTCACTTTCCAAATGAGATTCTGAGACCATATTTCTCTGCAATACTTCATAAATCGTGATCTTTTTGCAGTCTACTGTTCAAGTTTCTGTAACAATTCTTTATGAATCAGTTGTGATTCTCTATACAGACTTGCTAATGTGAACCTTTTTCTTTGTTGTTTTCTCTTATTTAACAAATTACCACCATTTGACACACACAAAAAATCAACCATCTTCAGATTTTAACTTTCTTGTTCTTGAAGCAATTAACCATAATTGTTATATGTTTTTAACTGAAGCTTAATCACATAATTACATCTACTGGTCGATCTTTTTCGAACCCTCTAGAAATCTCAACTCTTTCTAGACAATTGGTCCTTGAAAAGTACACAAAATACTCAACTACTCCCACGAAAAAAATTTCCAGTCATGTAAATTTTCTCATAAACAGAAACTCTTAAAATCATGTTTCCACATTCCAAAAGCTTGCTAGATGAATTTTCCTGGAATTTTCACTGACAATCACTGATTCAGAGTTTACGCTGATTATCTGAACCACTCACAAACCCACCCAGGTATCTGGAAAATAAGCCTGATTTACAAGACGTTCACCTTATACAACTATCCTCTCTTCATAAAATTTAAAGTTGAATGAAAAACATTTTCAAGAAAAAACAAACATCTTATTCCCTTCCATCTCATGCAAAACCAGGGAGTTCAAATTCTCTCGCATGCAAAATCATGCATAATAAAGTTATCCATTTTTATCTGTTTGATGTCTACATGAAATATTTACCAATGTCAACAAGAAAGGTTTTTTTTTTTTTTTTTTTTGGGAAAAGCCAAGGCCAGAAATAATTGGCATTGATAGAATATCTGTTCTTGCAGCAATTGTTGATGCAAGACCTTCAGAATTTAGAATATTTCTCAGTTTGTGCCAACAGAACAAAAAGCTCCGAGACATCTAGTGATTTGTTCTTTTCCTGTATTCTATTATGTGTTTGGGTGCTTTCCTAACGTAAATCTACATTTTTTTTTCTCCACTTAAAAAAAGGGCATGACAGCTCAAACCTCGTTAGATCTTAGGGATTCATTTTGAAAACTTCTAGATGAAGCAATCACAGAGACTTCCATTTCAAATTCAAATCAAATGAAACCAATTTCAAGACTTCCATATTCACCGATGATTGCTTTTAAATTGTTTCAAACAGACAATTAAAATTTCCTTTTCTTCCAATTAATCAACTCCTAACCATTGAGTGCATGCTAACAAATATTTTCTATGTCATGCAGTTGGCATTAGATAAATCCTACTTGTATAGTGCCAAACATATTATATATATCCTACTCCTATGGTGCCAAACAATATAAATCCTAGGATCAGGCATTACCACATACATCAACACTTGCCACTCCCTAAAAGGGTAGGCAAAGCAGACTGCCCAGTAACTGTTATAGTGGGCAGCTAGTGGGCAGTGTCCACTCCTTCCTTACCTGGATGTCGTACTCTCCACCGGGCACACTCTGTCCACCAAACTTGATGTTAATGGTGTAAGCACCCATCATCTGGGGTGTGAAAAGGAGGCTGAAGGTTCCATCCGGATTCTCCACGATGTCAATATCGATGTCGTTGCCGCTCGGGCTGCGGATGCGACAGGTGACCTTTCCTTCTCCGGCCTGGGAGGCGTCCACACAGATGACCGTTTCTTTGTTGATAGGGACCGTGGTGTTCTCCAGACCCTCTGTAAATGTCACAAAACCAAATTTAGCGTTATACCAACCAGCAAAAAATCTCACAAATAAATTTTGGGAATTTAGTATGGTTTAAAAAGGCATTCAAAAGCTAAAATGCAAGAATTTCAATGATTATGGCTTATTTGAATTCTATACAAAAATGTATTCTGCATTCAATATATTTTTACATTAATATCTCATACATATATTACATACAGATATACAATAGATATTTCAAACTGAATCTACATTCTATTTTTTTTTATTAATTCGATATCTAAATTCAATATCTTTGGATATCACAGTGATTTCTGTCATCCTAACGAGTTCCAGATATCAAACTTTGACTGAATTTCAAATCAAAATGGAGCAATTTTCCAAAACACATGACTGAATATCACAACATAAATTGATCTTTTTTTTTCATATTTTAAATGTTTTCAGTGTTGTAACTTACCTGTAATTCTGCACTTGCTGGCATCACCCACTGGGTATGCGTTGACCTTGAGGGGCGTGTTGGGTACCACCTGTCCTCCAAATCGGATCAGGATCTCGTAAGTTCCAAGGTCGTCTGGTACGTAGGACACAGTAAAGGTTCCGTCTCCATTGTCCACGATGTGAGGGTGAGCATATGTACCATCAGGCCTCTGTAAAGAACAGTAGTAGAAAATCGTTTAATATTGTAAAAGTGATACAGTTTAATCTCGTTATCTTGAACTCTATGGGACCGAGAAAAAAAAATCAAGATATCCGAGGGATTGAGATATTGAAGTAAAATACTTAAAGTGTCTGGGACGTCCAAATCACTTCAACATATCTATGGTATTTGAGATATTGGTGTTTGAGATACCCAAGTTTAGCTGTATTTGTAGAAATAGGCAAATTGTACAGTACAGCATATTCAGTTTTATGGAATCTTCTAATGGATTACAAATTTTTTTTTTACTTTTTCTTTTGGTTTTCTTTTGTTTTTCTTAAATATTTTTAAAGTTGAAAGATTGTGGAAAAACTTTTTTTTCAAGTTAAAAGTTTCTCCCCAATCTTTTAAAGTTTTCATAAAACATTTAGCATTTTTCCCCCCTATTCTCTGATAATATGAGTGCTTCATCCTTTGGGTGGGATTGTTTATGATGAGTGGGGGCCAATTCACTTTAATTGTAATGGTTGCTTTACACTTCATTAAAAATCTTGTACATAGTCCTTTGTCCTCCCAAATACTTCGTTTTCCTACACTTTTTCAATCTGGCTATAGATTGTTTTTTCAAGTCTTTTTCAGCTCACATAAATCATTTCAGAACATTTGAAGTAATATTTTTTTTTAATTTCAAGGTTCACATTCAATTATCACATCTTTTGAAAGCAAACCAGTGCAACAACCTATGCAATTACCTTAAGTACAAATCTAGTAGCATAGCTTTGCCATATTTGAAAACATTATTCACTCATTATAATTGCCAAACAGTGGGGATTCATTTGAAAAAAAAATTAACAATCAGGGGGTGCACTTGGATTTACATATACAAAAATTTAAGACATTGTTGTCCAACTGCATTAGTCCCTCCACAGACTACTGTACAGTAACTATTTTTACTTTACTAGCTCCTAAATATCATATATTTCCAAAAAATATTTCTGCACAAAATTTACACTCATAAATTTTTTTTGTGTATGTGTCAAGGATACATCATAATTTTGCTTTGATATAAGCATTGCACAACCCAAAATAAAATCGACCTACATTTCCAACATTTATACAGGTATCAGAGATTTCCCAGAAGGCCCTAAATGTCTTATTCCTGTGTCAATATCAGGTGATACCCCACATTATCCTGATGTTAATGGATAATAAATCCCTCCCAGACAAGAAGCAAGATGGATGGGGGGAGGTGATGATTGAATTTTATCAGAAACTGAGAATACCCAGACATCTTTAGACAAAAGCTGCAGTTGTATATATCAAGCTCTGAAGAGTTACCTCCCTTTATAAGACATAGTACAGTGTGTGTGCACTTTTGTTTTCACTGCACTATAATGCAAAGGTTCACATGTTTTCTGTCTGTCTATACACCCATGATTAAGAGCAACTATTCACTGAATCACTTTGAGGTGAACAAAACATGTTGTTATGCAATTGCTTAATTCATTCATTTCATTAACAAAACGATCAAATTTAGCTTTCTTTTGAGTCATCAAGAAAACGTGAAGTCTTTGTGGTTTTGAGGAATTTTGCTTTTTGTACTTCTCATAACAGAGTGCAAAATGCAAGGAATATAGAGAACAATGTTTTATCCTTGCATCTTCTATTGGCTTGTCTCTTGACCTGTGACCTTTGACCCTCACCTTAATAAGAACTTCCAGGTCAGCAATGCCAGCCTCTCTGGTGTCGATGAGGAAGTTGACCGGTAAACTGGCTGGGATATTCTCCTGGACACCGGCTCCAGATAAACGGACCCGGCTGGCATCCACCCCTGGCTCCACATTGGTGGTGAATGGACTGAAGAAAAAGATCAAGCTTAGTATGAGCATCATTCCTGGGTCCACATTAGTAATAGCGGGTCTTGAAAGCAAAGACTGTCAACATTATGCAATGTACAATATGTATAGTTTAGTTAATGTTCACTAATAAGTTTATGAAGATAATGGTCACTTTCAAGGGAAAAATACAAGGGAATATCTTATACTCTCCCTTTAACCATTTATAATTAACAATTTTTTTATCCATTAGATATCTTCACACTTAATTTATGTATCCCAATACTTGTTTCCCTATATCCCAATAGATGTTTCAATCTAAACACTCCATTTCTGCAATAATTCCATCTTACCTTCCTGGTACATGTTGGTTTGCGTACTTGACGTCCACCTTGCACGGTCCTTCCTCCACAGGGTAGTAAGTGGCATCGACCACACCCTCAGCCACAGGGGTCAGCTGGGCAGGCTGGACACGACCTCTCTGGTCAGTACATGTGACCTCCAATGGGGCCTCTCCAGCTTCTGTGGTATCCACGGTGAAGGTTGCTGGGGCACCAGTCTTCACTCCCATTGGCTCTATTCCAGGTCCATAGCATTTGACCTTCTTGGCATCGACTGGGTTCTTCACAGCCACTCGGAAAGGTGAGTCTAAAATTAGAGATTAGATAATATTTGTACATTTTTTTTTATTTGGCAGATACATGTTATTATATGGAATTGATTCTAATAGAGCATTTTTCTTGAAAAGCTATTTCATAACCTTAAAATTTCCTATCAACAGAACAAAAAAATTCAATATCCTTTGAGGCTCAATGAATTCTTAGTAAACAAAGTTATGAAGCTAACCTTGTGTGATAGAAAAGATATGCAAAAAGGAGGTACTTCCTCAGTCTAAGCTCTGGAAATATAGTTAATGAGAGTTTCAGAGATTACTTCTATTGAGCTTCTAACTAAACAAGGACTCACTGGGAATTTCCTGGTCAGCGAATTTGACAGACACATCATAATCCCCAGGTTTGCTTGGCATGTACTCCACAGTACATGTTCCGTCCCTATTGTCCTTACAGTTAATGGGGACTTCTGAGGGTCCATCGATGGAGAGTCCCAGACCACCCTGACCGGCTCCTTTAATGTCAATGGTAAACACCTGGGATTGGTTGGTGTAGCCTCCTTCAAGCCCGGGTCCATAGGCCTTCACACGGCTGGCATCGCAGCCTGGCACAGCATTGACCTTGAATGGGCTGTTGGGAATAGCCATATTGTCATAGGTGACATCCATGGCAATTGTTCCTAAAAACACACAAATATACAAATGGAATCATCAAAGACAAAATACCTTAGTTTTATCATTAGGCAGATGACACAGTTCTCAATCTCCAATATTTTTTTTTACCTTTTGTAAAATTCAAAAACAATTTTCTTGCTAATACCTAGAGCTATCTTTTTACACATATATTAATCAAAATATTCTAGCTATACCTAAAGCTGTAATACAAAGTGAATTTAAAATTATCTTTTATTTCTCTCCTATTGTCTGTCAGGTATATATTTAAAATGTGATTTCGACTAAAATTTGATTACTCTAGAGTTGCCTCCCTTACCTTCTTCAACAGGTGTGTAGAGTACGTCGTAGGTACCATCCCCTTTGTTAGTGACCTTGGTATCGTTCTTGACACCAGAGGGGTTGTTGACAATAGCTCTTACATTACCCTCCCCAGTGGGGGTAACAGACTTGGCGTCCACAGTGAATTCTGTGGGGGAATCCAGGAACACTCCTAAAACAGAAACAGATGCTATAAATAAGTATGTCAAAATGAAAGAAAATTCATTTTGCTATGCTAAGTTATATGGAATATTAATTTCTACACTGTGTAGGTTTGATAATAGGATATTGTGGTGAAATTCTACTACTGTATGTGTTAAATGGAAAAAAAGATATCTAAGATTATATATCATTATATTTACTGTTACATTAACTTAGGCTAAAATAAAAATATTCATATTGGATAACTGCTGAAAATTATGGTTGTAAATTTTATACTACATAATGTTAGCATATAAATTAGTAGAACAACAGTTACTCTTAGTTTTCAACAAAAATGTTCAATATTACACTAACAGCTTTAATTTTCATCACTAAGCCTATAGGGTTTGAGGGATTTTTTTTTTTACATTCAAGTGAGTACATTAAAATTTTGTCATGCTATTCAGCTAAATATTTAGTAGAATAGTAAGTATATGCTGGAGAGAGGTGCTATTTGATACTTACAATATATCTACTATGACTAAATGATGGGAATTCTATTGAAAATGCACAGCCAAGAATGATATACTTTGAAATAGATCTATAGGTATTATAAATTAAAGGGGTGCATATGGGTATACATATATACATAATTTATATATTAAAGATACAAATGAAGCTAAAGTTGAATAAACAAGCATAACCTGCAAAACAAAATTTAAAAGAAAAAAAATCAAATGAAAGCTTAGAAGAAATAAGTCAGGCGAAGGTAAAATGAAAGTACATCCGCATGTAGAGAAAGTTCAAAGGTCATGCCCACAAAAGCCACAACACAAGCCTGCTGAAGTTGAGTTAATAAAAGCCATCAGTTCCGTCAAGCTCCACCTGTTATGATTAAAATAAATCAGGGAAAGACAACTCTTGTGTGCTTTGTTCAGCCATTGATCAGTCATTCCTCATGCTGAGAGAGGTAGAGAGAAATTACCCTGAGGGTTAAGGCCAGGTCCATAAACTTTGACCCCACTGAGGTCAGCCTCTGTGAGGGGTTTCTCTCCAGCAGATGGTCTGACTCTACATTTGAATGGCGACTCCTTAATGGGCTTATCATCATAGGTGACATTAATTGTGTACTCTCCTTGTTCCGTTGGGAAGTAGGTCACAGCAACAGTACCATCAGGATTGGATTTTGTGTCAATGGTAGCTTCCTTGGGTCCTTCAATTCCTACACCGATGGCTCCAGGGTATTTGGCATTCCTAGCATCCACAGTGAAAACAGCTGGTTTGTCAGTGACAGCATTCTTCAATCCAGGGCCATAAGCCTTGACACCACTGTCTGTGGTGTCAACAGGTTCTCCTGTGGCTGGGCCAATGTGCACCTTGAAAGGAGATTCCTCCAAAGGTTTCTCATTATGAGTGACCTCCACTGTGTAATCGCCTGGCATTGTAGGCATATAAGTTGCTCCAAAGGTTCCATCTGGGTTGGATTTCATGTCAATCTTTGCTTCTTTGGGTCCGAAAACTTTGACCCCAACAGGACCTGGAACAGTGGCCCTTCTAGAATCAATAGTGAAGCTACATGGCTGTTCTGCATTTCCTCCCTCCAGACCTGGTCCATAGGCTCTGACACGAGAGTCGGCCACATCTTTTGTTACCTTTGCCTTGAATGGTGAATCTTTGATGGATTTCTCTCCATAGGTGACATCAATAGTATAGTCACCTGGGGCAGTAGCTGTGTAAGCCACATCAATAGTGCCATCTGCTTTTGGAGTCAATGTTGGTTTGACAGGGGCTGGGCCTTTGACATCTACATCCACCTTCTGGCCCTGGGCAGGGGCTCTCCTGGTATCCACTGTGAAAGTGGCAGGAGCATTGGCACTAGCGTTTGTAAGCCCTGGACCATAAGCAATAACCTTAGAGGCAGAGTCATCAGGCACAATTTTAGCCTTGAATGGAGAATCCTTGATGGGCTTATTACCATAGGTAACATCAATGGAGTAGTCACCAGGTTTGGTTGCAACATAATCCACATCCACTGTTCCATCTGGTTTCTTGGTCAATTTCGGTTGAACTGGTGCTGGTCCACTGACCTTAACATCCACATTCTGTTTTGGTGCAGGTGCTTCTTTGGAATCCACAGTGAAGGTAGCATTGACATTAGCACTGCCTCCTGTGAGTCCGGGTCCATAGGCCTTGACCTTGTTGGCTGCATCCTCTGGTTTGATATTGGCCTTGAAGGGAGAGTCCTTAACTGGTTTTCCATCATAGGTCACATCAATGGAGTAATCTCCAGGCTTTGTGGGGGTATATGTCACCTCAGTTGTGGTGTCTGGTTTCTTCTTCATGTCCACCTTGGCCGGGCCTGGACCTTTGACCTTCACATCCACCTTCTTTTCAGGTTTAGGTGCCTCCCTTGTGTCCACAGTGAACACTGCAGGTTGTCCCTCACTTCCTGTGGTCAATCCATCACCATAGCATTTCACTTTATTGGCAGCTTCTTCTGGTAGGATCTTAGCCTTGAATGGGGAATCCTTGATGTGAGAATTGGCATAGGTAACATTGATCTTATATTCACCTGGTACCTCAGGGTAGTATGTGACCCCCACAGTTCCATCAGGGTTCTGCTTGGTCTCAATCTTAGCCTCCTTGGGTCCCTCAATTGTGACCCCAAGTTCTCCTGGGGTTGTGGCAGCACGAGAATCAATGGTGAACTCAGCAGGAGCATTAGCACTGCCCCCTTTCAGACCTGGACCATAGGCCTTAACTTTGCTGGCAGCATCGGGCAAGACATCAACTGTGAACGGTGACTTGGGTACAGGTTTGCCACCATAGGTTACCTCCACTTTGTGAGAGCCCACTTCTGTTGGGGTAAAGAAAGTCTGGAAACCCTCGGGGATAGGTTTGTCCTTCAGTTCCACCTTCTTTTTGCTGGGAGTTGTCACGGTGACACGAGGTGAGGCAGTAGATTTACCAGCGGCTTTTGTGATAATCTGAATTTCTCTTTCTTTATTGACTGTCATGGCTACAGAAAAACAGTTGCTATGACACCACTACATTTAAAAGATGTGAATTAAAACACAAAGGAACAGAAAAAAAAAATCAAATCATTAACATTTAGATAGGAAAAAAACAAGCTTAAAATGGAAACAATGTTAAAATTTGAAAGGCAGAATTTGAAAAACAGGACTGGATAAAAAAAGTTACAGATAGGGTTAATTAACAGTTTTCTGTAATTGAATTCTAATCAGGAACATTGACTTCATTTCAGAATTGAGACAATTACTTCAAGAAAATGTGAAAAACTAGAAAAGTGAGTTGAAATGTAAAACATAACCTCCACCAATTGACTCCAAAAATCAAAATTAAAATGGGTCAGCATAATGAACTTACGTTTGTCAAGTCCTACGACCTTGACCTTGCTAAGGTCAATGCTGGCCTCCACTGGTACTTTAATAGGACTACTGGGAATTTCCTTTCCAGCGAAGTATACAGCCACCACGTATGTGCCTGGGTTGACTGGTTCATATTCCACTTTGAAGGTTCCATCTTTCTGGTCAGTGGTCTTGACAGGGACGTCACGTCCATTTGCGTCCGTCAGAGCGATGCCAATATCTCCTGGTCCAGCGGTAGTGCAGTCCACAATGAAGTAGGTACTGACGTGGGTTTTGACTCCCTTTTCGACACCGGGGCCATACACTTTGACATTAGCTGGTTTGCTAGGCTCTCCAACTTGTACCTAGAATGAAAGGTAGAATTTAAGGTTTTCAATGTATAACGACCATATTTTGTACCTAATAAATGAATGGTCGGACATTTTTAATCATTGTAGCATTTTGAAGATGTTATCAAATAAAAACACTCCACCAAAGGAATTTACAAAAATTTGATTATTGTCCAATTAATTGCACCTTGATTTTTACATTGAAGTCTATGGGCAGTGCATGTTTTACTAAGATATTGTAAAAAGTAATTTGAACTTCATACAAATCACTTGGTGAAAATACGCATAAACTCTCTCTTTATTGAAATACGAAATAAAATGAATCATTTACCACAGATATTTTGACAAAATTAAAATTTTCTTGTTTTCATCAAGGGTAGATAACTCTTCAAAAACGTTTAAGGTGCAAAATGGCCGGCTTCTTATATGTTATCAGTCATGTGAATTTAGTTTATTTCACTTTCATCGTTATCTAGCATTATATATTTAACTAGTTTAAATGATTCAAAATTGTTCAATATCCCTTCATTATACATTGAATACCTTAAGTGACATGGAGAATTTGAAATCATGAGCATTTTCTCTCATTACCATAAAAAAAACTATATAGTTAAACTTTTATGTTTCTGATTAAAGAAAACCAAACTTAATTTTATATGTTGCTTTTTTGTGTAAACATTACAAAACACTCTAAATTCATTACTTTCATTTACAGATGTAGAATTCAAACCTTTTTTTTTATGTTGTTTTAAATCTGAATATAGCGTCAAACTTTTCTGTGTGAAGGATTTGTATTGTGCTCCCCACCTCAGACAACAATTATTTCCTTATACCCCCCCCCCAAATAAATAGCCTTATACTCAATTCAAGACATACTATTTCTGTTTCCTCAATAAGAATTACCCCCCTATAACCCCCCCCCCCCCCCACTTCTGTATAACTCTATACTTACCCTGAATGGTGAGTTGGGGATCTGAACTCCTCCCCATGTAATGGTGATGGTGTGTTTACAGGACTTTTTGGGCATGTATTTACATTGGAAGGTACCGTCCTTTTTGTCCACAATCTCTACTGGGATGGGTTTCAGGTCCACATCTAAACAGCTGATGTTCAGTGCCGCCTTGCCTGCCTTCTTGGCGTCTACGGTGAACTCTGTCCACTTGTTCTGAACCACTCCCGATTTCTCCAAACCTGGTCCAAAAGCAGTTACCTGTGGAAATTTAAAGCACTTGTGAATTTTGTTCTGTTAAAGCTGAAGATTTTAGGCACCACCTACATTTATAAGTTTTATGCAGTGCATTTAAAAATCATTGCAACAAAAATGTCCCATTCAATACAACAATTCTTGTCTTAATTACTAAAAAAAATTTTCAAAAAGTGCACCACTGGATTTTTATATGCCTGTCTGGAATTATTCGACTATTTATAGAAATTAAATCCAAAGTGAAGTCAAGGTGACTATAATTTGATTGGTGACACACCTTCTCCACAAGATGCATCAAATGATAAGGTTTAACTGTCCCAAGGCCTCACATAATATAAAGAGGAATCTGTAGATCCCCACACAGATGTGAGGAATTAATTATTGCATAATTTCGAGAAGCACCTCTCACACAAAAATAAAAATTCTAGATTTTTATTTTCATATTACTGAAACACATGTAAAAACTCTCGATCAACAGTTCACTCGTAAATTCATTATCTCGCAATTTGACGTCTACGAGTATTTCACGATATAAAGTATAAAATAAGGAATCTACATTATGACATAGACACAAAACTGCTTACATACAGACAGACAAGAAAACCCATACCATAAATCAGCCCATCAAAAGACAGGCGTATAAAAAATGCATGTACCTGGGGCTTTTTGAAAAGTTCGCTCAAGTTAGACATTGTCTGGTCCATGGCTGTGTTATTTTCAGAGTAATTAACTTTGTGAAATTCTTCCTGTCACATAGGGGAAAAATCACAAAACATCTCAAAATCAAAAAAAAAATTCTTACGGATAAGCTGGTGAATCAAAAATGTTATGAGAGAATACTAAAATTCCTTTTCAGTTCTATATTTTTTTTTTTTTTTGTTAAAAGCAAACTTTAATTAAAAAAAAAATCAAAATTAGAAAATCTTTGTGGATGTATAATCTTTTGAATTAAGGAAAAAAAATTGTTTTTTTTCACCAGCATTTTATTTTGTGAAATGCAGCATTTTATAGAGATTTATGATGTCTAATGTGAAAGTAAATTTACAATACCCATGGACAGATAGTAGCTGTTGATAATAAGAATTTCAAGATGAAATAAAATATACATAAAATATTGATGTATATGTTTTTTCATGATGTAATGAAATATACATAAATGTATGTACATGTATTATAATTACTCTTAATGACAAAGGTAAATATACGTGGTATACCATTCCATTTTTTGTGGTTCTATACTTACCATGAGAAAAAAAAAATTTAAAATGTTTAAATGGTGGTAGAATTGAGAAAAAAAAACATTCAATACATTCAATAGTCTATATACTTGGGACATTGCGGAACACATGAATCATAGATGATATCATGTAATAGAATGGCTCAGGCACATGCTTAATGGAAATATATCATTGAATATTTGAATACTTTTAAGATTTTTTTTTTACATCAAAGGTCAAATCAGATGCAGTTTAAGGTTTATACAACAAACCTGTACTTCCACTAAACCATTTTCTAAATCATTATTTTCCTAAAGGAAAAATATTAAAAACAAAACATAAATTGTATATGCAGCTAAGTGAAATAAGTAAAAAATTTTGATATGTTATTTTCCATGTAATCTCTAAAACATATGTTGCCAGATTTACATGTATATGTATATCTATGTCTCTTCCATTTGTAATGTTCAACGGAGAAGTATTAAGTACATCATTGTTCAAGGTGACAACCTTTCATCATTTCTTTTTCCTTAGAACAACTCACAAAGGTTAATCATACCAGAAGCAAAGCTAGTTCACAGTATACCAAACCATGACTAGCTAAAAAATCTATTTCTATTAAATCAGTACGTACACATGTAATTCTAAGAGCTATGAGGGCTAGAGGCAACATTTCATCAGTAACACAAGTTTTTTTTATGACCTTGCAAGAAACACTGAATATCAGTAATTTTCAAAAGAGCCATGTAGACTAGAGACAATATTTCATCACTAACACAAGATTTTTTTCTTACCTTTGAAGCATTGAATGCCTTGGTCTCGGGTTGGATTTGGACCATGTAGGGAGATTTGGGAATGTCTTCTTCGTTACACAAGATGTGTACAGCGTATTCTCCCTGGGCCGTGGGGTAATAGGTCACGTCAGCTGACCCATCAGAGTTGTCCTTGCAGTCAATCTTAGCCTGGGACGGTCCCTCAATTGAAAATCCTACAACATATGGGATCATTAGTACAGAAATTGAAATATTTTAGTTTCCAGTTACTGGATATACATGTGCCTTTTTTGTATGAATTTTGCAGATACAATTTTTATAGAGACACTCATCCACAAGGTTGACTTTAAAATTCTGACACATGTTTTGCAACAATTCTAATTTTTATACAATCTTCTTTTGAACTATTTTTGTCTTCAAAACAAGCACACATATCTTCATCTCCAATAAATAATTATCATGAATATTTTGAATAAAATATTCCACAATCAATTAACCCCTTTACCTAGGGCCCCAGTTTCTCCCATGGTTTCCACAGTGAAGCGAGCAGGCTGGTTGACCACTCCTCCCTCCAGACCAGGTCCGTAAGCTCGAATCTTGGATGTTTTAGCTGGACCGACGTCAACTTTGAATGGACTCTTGGCAATGTGCTGGTCTCCGAATGTGATGTTGATGATATACTGGCCTTGTTTTAGGGGGACGTACACACATTCATACACTCCCTCCTCTTTTGTACTCTTCTTTGAGGTACATTTGACATCAATTCCACCTAAACAATGTTAAAACTTAGAAAATAATTTTTTTTTCTATTAAAGGCTCATTATTCCTTTAATTGATTTTTTTTTTCTAAGAAATAAGGGCACTTAATTTCTTCTCTTTTTTTTTCAAGAAATCTAATGTAAATGCTATGGGATAGATTCTTTTTTTTAAATGAATTTTTTGTCAGAACTTTGCATGGTCAAATATTTTCCTGCCAAAACATCCATACTAAAAGCTCAAAAGCTCAAAAAAAAAAAACATTTCTGATTGTGAATTTCACTTGATGTTTTAACTGACAAATGGAACAGTTGAAAAAAAGAACACTCATTTGAGGATGTTCTATGTAATATTTATGCCAAGCTGAATAAGTAAAATCCATTTACCTGGACCAATGATATGAATTTTGACCTCTGCTGCTCCCGCCCCCTTCGTGTGGACTTTGAACTCTGCATTCTCGTTTACTCTTATCCCCCTTGGCTGGATACCTCGGCCAGTGGCATAGCACATCTTGGCATTAGAAGCTGTATAAAACAATATTTAATTGAATTTTTATAATGCATGTATATTTCTGATTTAAAACAAGAGAAAAATTTACTGTTAATTCAAAATTGATCATTTTTTTCTTATGATTGAACTTCTTCATTCACTACTATGCAATAACGTTGTCATAATATATGCTGTAGTTCTGCATTAGATCATCCATCTTAAAATTGTTGCCAACTTTTTTTTTTCAACAAAATATCTTCAAGTGGAGAACCCCCGGCCTTTACCTGGTGAGACATTGACCCCATATGGGCTCTTGGGAATCTGTTGACCAGCGAACATGATGTTGATGGAGTGGACACCTTGCTCCATGGGGATGTATTCTACCAGATAAGTTCCCTCCTTTCCGGGGACTGGGGCGATACTGGGGCGAATTGTGTCCTTCCTGCCATGGGGGTCCAGAATAACCACATCAATGCTGCCTTTACCTGCATCTGTCAATTTCAAGGTCAGAACATTCAAACACAGGTCAAGGTCAAATTTTAATTTTCATCAACCATGCATGTAGTTGCTGATATATGAAAGGGTTTAATTAAGTTTAATTCACTAACTGATGAAAAAAGCTGAGCATTTTCTAGATTAATTAACATTCACTATCAGGTTTTTCAATCTTTTTTCTATATTAAATGTTAATTATAACTAATTTCACAACAATTCAAGGAAAAATTTTTTGCATGGATCTCAAAATCTAAATCATCTGGACTAGTACAAATTTCTACTCAAGCTTCAGTAAAACAATTAAATTAATATGCTTTCTGTGTGAATAAATTCTAATTTCTAAATATTTTGCAGCCCATATATCCTCCGATTACAAGTACTTCTACAAATACATCTAAGTATATTCCAATCCCTCTCTTTACAAATACAACACCAAAATGTGGATCATGCAAATTCTTGTGTACATTCCAAAAATCTAGTAAACTGACATTACTGTCAGATGACTGCTAACGCAGAAACTAAAGAAAAAATGTGGAAATTTTTTTTAAACATACTTCAAAAGGAAAACTTTGGTTTGTTATCAAAACAAGACAGAAAAATGTGAAAATAAAATGTCAACAAAAAAAGAGCAATGACAACATAAAGCCGCGGACAATGAACAAAATGACAGATGTGTTAGTCAAATAACTTTGATTCCATGCTAATATGATCGTTCTAAGTTTAGCACGAAGACATTTCACCAGTCCAATTATTTTCTTGTTAAAAGATATTCAAGAATGAACTACAAAGAATTAGAGTTTTCTGGCATGCCTTTGTGAAAACTAAGACACAAGTGATCAAATTTCACAGGAGTTGCTGTCCTTGATTGACATGTGTACTTTGTGTTTCATCCCTCAAAATAAGGAGTGCATAAAGGTCATGGGGTCCCAGTGGGAGGTTAGGTGGATCCCCATTCCTTATCAAAGCCAGAAAAAATACCCTCATGTCTCCATACCATTTACCTTATAAATATCAGATATGAGAGTATTTTTTCTTTGCTATGAAACAGCTGCTGGGAGTTGCCGTGGATACACAGGTGCATTGTGGGTAGTCTTACCTTTCTTTCCTGGGGCTACTACTATTTTTACTGCATCTATAGTAATGTGAAGTAGGGTAAAAGGCTGAGGAGTGCTCATATATAATAACAGATATGTCATAATATTGACCAATAGAAACAGATTTTACATCAAGAAAATGAAAAATATAGTACATGAAAGCAGAATTAAGTTTAATGCCAAGTTTTTTTAATGATATTTAAGAAATGTGATGTTATTGCACACAAAGCTGTCAATTAATTATTGCAATGACAAAATAACTTCACTTAATTATTTCATTTTTCCTCAATACTTAATTGCAATACATGTAATTCTTAAGTCACTGACAAATGAAACTATGTATATACACCAATGTGAAATTAAACTAAAATTAATCTGTGAATGATTAAGTCTTAATTCACTTTGTTAAGTTAAAAAAAAAATCTGAAACTGCTCTTAATCATTTGATACATGATTGATATAATATAAGAAGAGGGTTACTAGGCAGTGAGAAGCTATATATTCTAGAGTGAGAGCTAATATATTCACCGTATTTACCAGATTTAAAATAAAATATGTTACCTATGTCACTTAATAATTCTGCTGGAACTGCATCTAATAAAACAAGTCAGCACACACTCAAAAAAATCTAGTCTATCAAAGTATTTAGAGATTACATTCCAAGAACAAGGATGCATAGATTAATGATTGAGTTATCTCCCTTAGACTGTAATGTAAATAACTGCTACATTTACTTTTTCTATTGAAAAAAAAATTCTATTTACATTCCTATTACTTATATAAAACAAAACAAAACTTTTTTGAAGGAAAAAAATTGTTTTTTTTTTTATTATTATTATCTTCAAAAAAAAAAATTACACTCAAATGAACATGCATACTGTTTCTGAATTACGCCCCTGTAATTACTGCCTTGAATTGACAAACACTGTACACAAACTTACTCTTTGTGAAGACTTCGAAGTAAGTCCTCTTTGTTGCTATGACACCCGTCTTCTCCAGACCCGGTCCTGAGGCTGTGACCTTGGTCGGGTCACCGGCTGCGCCCTCAACCTTGACTGAAAATGGTGACTTGTTGATCTCCTTTTCTCCAAATTTGATGATAACCTAGAAAATTTTATACAAGATTATCAATTCTCATCACTGAAACTTCATAAAGACTGTTTTTCAGAAATTATCATCATAATACTGTCCCATGTGAGGAAAAAAAATAAAAATTCCAACTAAGGCGTATCCTCAAACTTGTCAGACAGTCTCAGAAGGATAGAAGTGCTCTCTATATAAATATCCCCCACCTCATCTGATGCAATAATTACTTTATACATTGATCACTCATAATAAAGAAAAAATATATACCTTGTTCTTTTTGCTCCTTTTCATTTTGAAGTTTAATTAACCCTGACCAGGGACCCAGACATTAAAGCTGTGTATCTATTTACACATCATAAAACTGGACCACTTAAGGACTTGTGTATTTATGATTTAGATGGAATTTTACAGCAACAAATAAAACGTACATAAAACTGCGTGGGTGTCTCTGTTCTTCATGATATTCTGTATTGACAAAGCTTTGACGGCTTTTTTGGCTCAGGAATTTTTACAATTATTGGAAATTTTGAAAAACTTACATCCTTATGTTTACATCAAAGTTAGTGACATAATTCCACAACTTAACAGCTGTTAAAAAATCTTTATAGAAATGTGACATTGCATTGAATAACCAATGCTTATTGAAATATTGAGCTTTTCTTATTTCTTGCTTCTACTTTTCTTCAAATCCAGAAAGCACAAGACTTATTTCCAAATGATAGAGCTAACAACCTTCCATTGTTTTTCTTTAAATCATCACACAAGCCTCCATCCTCTACCTTGTACCCCCCTCCATACTGGGTATGTACACACAAAAGTAGGTCAGATTCCCCCCTCCCCTCCATACTGGGTACATATACACAGGAGTAGGTCAGATTTCTGTCTTACCTTGTACTCCCCCTCCATACTTGGTACATACACACAGGAGTAGGTCAGATTTCTGTCATTATTGAACACAACTTCACACTGTAAAGAAAATCATACCAAGTCAACATAAAATAATAAAGTAGTTCAAAGACAACGTTGATCAACGTAATCATCATAATCCCTCCCAGTTGTGTAACAATAACATCAAATATCACATCTTTTAAATGTATCCATTTATTGGAGCAAACAAAAACATAAAATATATACATGATAGCCTTCACCCATTCTCTGAAATCTAAAAACTTACAGTTTCTTTCTTTCCTTTGGGGTTGAGCACTGTGACCTCAAGTGTAGCTTTTCCAGCACTGAAGGTCTCCACGGTGAAGCGGGCAGGTGCTCCGACCTGGTTACCTTTGGGCTCCAGACCCGGTCCATAAGCACGGACACGGTTAGCGTTCAGGCGTGGTCTAACGGGGGCACCGGGTTTTAGCTTGGCCTTGGGGAACTGGGCTAAATAGGTCATCATGGACATTTCATCCACTTTGGGATTTGTGATTTCCTCGGGCTTGATGAGCTGTAAAGAAAGAAAAAAACATGAGTTCTGAATATCCATCATCAGATAAAAAGAATATGAACCACCAAGACTGAACTTCCTCAATCAACAATATCCATCAACTCACTTTATTTTCATCTGAACAAGCCATTTTTGTTTTCACTATAGATCTAAAACACAAAGTTTTCAAAGCACGTACTACCACATCACCCCCTTGCAAAATAAGTCATTTCCACTGAAATACACTGTACAGCAGTGTACCCTATAATCAATTCAGTCCAGCTGTAAACTTTTTCAATAGGAGGAATTTTGTTGGTTCAATGAAGTAGACATTTAAAGCTATCATTTCTGAAATCAAATATCTCCATATATATAACAATGCTTCTGAAATACCCCTCAAAATCTTTGAATTTTCTATATTGTTAACTAAACGTATTTGGGCTAGTGCACATGTCATATAAATAATCTACATAGCTTTTAGTTTTTAGACTTTTGTTTAAAAAACAAAACATTGTCAGCAAATCTGCTTGTTGTAAGAAATAGGAGTTATCCCTCTTTGAATATAAAAATCTAACAGCGTGCTTGTTGGGAAACTGAGTGATATATTTTTTACAGACATTATACCAATGCTAGGTGTTAAAACTGACCTGGAAGTGTTCAGGTTACAGAAAAATCCCAAATGCACTGGCAGTAAAGATATAATATTACACACACTAAGCTTTTACCACTTTATGTAATTTAAAAACTCATCCAAAAAAAAAAGTTGACATGCAACCAAATCTATTAAATATGGATTTACATCAAGATCTGATATCATATTAAGCATGTAGATGGTAAAATAAAATCTCTGTGTCATGATACTTTACACAATTTGATATCTGCTTCACACACAGGTCTATGCATAAACATTTCAACAGTGTAAAGGGGGGGACATGATTCATTTACTAGTTTTATAAAAATCTCCAGAGGCTAAACGAGAAAAAAGATGTTATCTCTGTCTGCTAGTGCAGTAGACATTCAGTTCAGCAGACAGATATTTATTTCTGCCATGCCTATCTATACAATATCAAACGACGAGAAAGTTTTGATAATGCTGTCTGCACATAATCACTATAAATTCAAATTTTAAGAAAAACAGGAAAAAATATAAAGAACATCTTTTTATAAGGGATTAGCTGTTTTCAACACTATCCACTTTTTTTAAGTGTTAAAAACTTTTCCTGAGAGCACACTTTGTCTACATTCTATGCATGGTGATGTTTATCTATATAGTTGCTTATGGGTCAACTATTGCTTCCAGCTTTAAAACTTGTATTCTGAATATATTACAGAGATTTTTCCTTGTTGCTGAATAAATAATTTGTATTTTAAAAAGACCTTTTCTTTTTTCTTTTTGTTAACTGCACAAAACACCTTAATGTTTCTTCTTTCAAGTTCTTATTCAATTGAAAGTTAAGACTCTGACATGATACATAAACTGCAGTAACACTTTTAAAATTTTTAAAAATATCTTTGTACTATTGATTTTCATTTTCAAAATATAATGTTTATATTCTCTTTCAAATCACATATCAATGCAAAACTTTTAGAATCTGAATTTCGTTGCACTTTAAGGTTTCCATGATAATACTTAATTTATACATCACAAAAATTCTTACAAATCACTTGTATGATAGTGACTGTTTGTACAACATTCAAAAAGATGCTCTGGTGTAAGCAAATTGCTTCTTTTCCTATAAATAGACTATTTTGTGCCTAATTTTGTCATAACTAGCCTATTTCATCTTGTATCTCTGAAATATTCTCCCTAATCTTTGTACATTTACCAGCAGGGGTGTGCTACAGAGCTATTTTCTCAACCTTGCTCTCTCTGAGGGCATACCTGAGGAACATCCAGCCATTTCTCAGCGTTGTCCATGGCTTCTTTGGCATTTTTCTTGGCATTTTTAGGATTCCAATCTTCCCAGTCAGGGCAGAGACCTAGCAAAAAAACAGGAGAGTTACATCAAAGAAGGATAACTCCTTGACACTTCTATCATCTGCAATCAAGGCTGCTGCACTGCATGCAATCTTGAAATAGTTACACTCTATTCCCATCAAGGATGTTTTTAATTACTTGTATCCTTGAATTATATTGCACTCTATGTAATATCTAGACATGTAGTTAAGGACAAGCTTAAAAGTGCACTTAAACCTTCATCTATATAATTCCTGTCTGCCACAGGTGTCACTCATTTAATACTTTTTTTCAAAAGCCCAAGGTGAAAACACCTCCTAAACATTGTTATCTTAATTGTGAAGCAAGTCTGACAGAACAACAAAGGCCCCCATACAATTTTGCCCATAAAAGGGGGGCATTTTTACAAAGCCCAATTCTGACGCTATGACATTGGAGGGTCAGCACACGTTAATCAAAGTGTCTCAATTTACTTTCGCATGTTTAAGTCAAAAAGTGTCTGATAAAGAAAGCTGGTTGGGTGTTCTTAATATCAATTAAATGTGAATATAAATAGATGTCATTGTAAATACACTAAATATTATATGAAGCAATTAATGTAAAAAGAAGCTTGGGGCAAATTTAGTCACAAATTGACTCAGCTGTCGCAATCCAATGCATGCAGCCTTGGTTGAAAAATAATACATTTCCTCTAAATTCACTTCAAGGTACATATTATATATGTATGATTATATATATATATATATATATATATATATATATATATATATATATATATATATATATATATATATATATATATATATATATATATATCACTGTTCGTTATATTTTCACCTTTTTCATACTTCTATCTATAATTATACACACAAACGCTTGTCAATTTGTAAAGCTATGAAAGCAACTATAGCTAAAAATGTCTGATGTAGCTTTTGAGTCCCGAACCACATGCTAACAAAACTTAATGCAGTTTAATCTGTCTATCTAAAAAAAATTTCAGTTATTTATGTTTGAATAATCAAAGAACGCCCACCGATAGATTAAAAGCCATGATACCAAAGCTTCCATCAAATTCCAACAGAGTGTATTTAAAACCTGTTAGTAAAATCTTCTTTTTTAAATCTTAAGAAAACTTTTTTTAATGACCGACCTGGAAACTTGGTCTGTATCATTGTGTTTTTGGCAGGTCAGTAAAGATGCATCATTTATCAGGCATTGGGTTTCCATTTTCTGGTACAATTATCATTTTACTAAACAAGGTAATACAAGGTCCTCTTCGTAAAGTGATGCCTTGAGCAAGACTTGGCTATGACATTTTCATGGCTGATGTATAAATTATTTTTAATTCATTGCTAGTGTAAATATATCATCTGAAGACTCCATTAACAATACAGATTTGATATTCTATATAAACCAGGTAAAATGATCGAAAGGGCTTATAGAGACTCATTTCTCAACATTTCCAGTGATATCTTCATGTTGTGAATGCCTTTCTCCACCCCCCATCCCTCAAGACAAACACCCAACCACCTTGTTATGAAAAATGTAGCACTTAATTTTCTGTAAAATGAAATATGCACACACTTGATCAAAACTGAGATTAAACTGCTTGTACAGCAGATTACAATAATACCTTAGGCCAAGTGCAACACAATATGGAGGATTGCATGAATGCTGAAGTGTAATTTTCATGGTTCAGATGTGAAGAAATAATTTGTAGAATTTTTCAGGACAATTTAACTGAACCATGAAAACCACATTTTTCTCCACATTTTTTTTACTTCATGTAATTCTTTAGCTGTCAAATTTAAGGCATATTTTTTATAACAAAAATAAAGATTTTACACTAGACATTCCTTAATTCATATAAATTTTAAGACATATCTTCAGAATTAAATTGTTGACAATTTCTGTATAATAAAGACTAAAAGCAATTTTACCAGGTCCAACAGCATCGACAAGTGCTCCAATGGCACGTCCGTCGTTCCAGTCTGTGCTGAAGTTTTTGATTGGCTGGTCTGGGATCTTGCTCTGGACCCAGTTCAACAGTCTCTGTTTGGGGGTGGGTCCACCTTCTGAGGGGGTCGGTTCCTCTCCCTCCCACATTGGCATGGAGATAGAGTAGTGTAAAATAAGGGTCCATATTAAGCCTAGAATTAACTTGATCTTGCTGTCTACTATATCTGAGCTGTCTGCAAAAGACAAAAATGATGGCATTGTTAGTCAATATATATATACCTACAGTGAAAATTGTCTAATTCAGATGTTGTAAAATACGAAATCTTGCCTAATACTGTGAAACTTTAAGTCCCTTGCATTATACTCTTTGTTTAAAATGTTGTCTAATACGGAATATTGTCTTATCCGGCTAATTTCGGTGTCCAGATAAGACAAGTTTTACTGTATATATTGTGTATATCTATATCTGTATATATCTATAATCTATATACATGCAGCAATCATATAGGTAATAGTTTGGTGAAATATAACAGCAAAATTATTTAATGTCCACGCATTTAGTGGCGATGTGTTTTCAGATGCAATATGATCTTTCTAGCTTTATTCTCAAGGACTTCTCCTCTTTACATAAGCGTAAACATTGAAGGTTCCCGAGTTTTCAAATGATGAAGTGTACAGCACTTGAAATTGTGTACTTTAAGTTCAAAGGAAGAAAATATGCAAGCACTTCAAACTGGGAATTAGTGGGTGTGTTCCCCTTTGACCCCCTACAAAGGGGAACATCTGACCACTTTCACTTTCAAATTTCCAGTGGGTGTGTCCTGTAAATATCTGACCACTTTCACTTTCAAATTTCCAGTGGGTGTGTCCTGTAAATATCTGACCACTTTCACTTTCAAATTTCCAGTGGGTGTGTCCTGTAAATATCTGACCACTTTCACTTTCCCTGTGTTCCCTTATCTTTCAATATTTGTGAAGTATATTTTTACAGACTTGAAAAAATTTACCCCTCCTGCATCTCTAAACAGATTACCGATACACATCTCTGTAAAGCCCGGTGAAGTCTGGTCAAACAGCTGATCCCTAACTCTGATAATAACAATCTAAAACCCAGTTGTTTACTCCAACTGCCGACTTTAATCTTTCTCTGCTAAAACAATAAATGTTTTTGATATTCTGCATTCATAGATTAATTACTACAAACTGAAAAGCTGCTTCAGGTTTTCGCAGTTAACTGCACCATCTTTAGAAATGATCTTGAAAACGCATTTAAAACTTCTCAAAATAACCACACTTTAATCCATGATATTAGATTTAAATATTTGTAAACAGGCACTTTAAATCATGTGCCAATATTTGTCGAAGAATTAGCTTTTTTGAAAAACTCTAACATGCTGTGTTTACATTTTTAATTCATCATTATATTTTTTTTCTTCTTATGAAAAGCAGAAAAAAACTTGAGTGAATCATTTGATTGAACAGGTAAACCCTAAGTAGGCTACAGAATACTTTTTATATTTGAATCTCATCCCCTAATGCATTGAAATAATTTTAATGAGAAGTTTTTTTAAAAGGCATGTTAGTATAATTTCCGTCTGCATACCACAGACATAGTTTTAATGCAGATTTTGTGGTTTCAACGTAAGCAGCACCTTTCCCCAGACCCAAATAAGGCCAGAAATCAAATAAGCGTAAAACATCGTAAACACAGGAGTTATTTACGTTATCAAAAGTTTCCTAACACGGGGGCACTTCCGATCGCGCTTACTATTACCAGTAAACACATTGTCCATGCCTCTATTCAGACACTCAAACATGCGAAAAATAATTCCACAAAGTGGTTATAGCTACTTGTGGACCCTCGACATAACATAACCCTGAGTCAAATACTTCACCGTCTTTGCCTTAAACCATCGGGGGCCAAATCTCATTACTCTGCATACCTATGATCTGTTTGTTGATTTCTTGATATGGGAGAATAAACCTAGATTTATTAAAACCTGATGATATAACTGAGATAGGATTTCTGCTGATTAGGTGGAAAGATTTTTACCTGTGTAGATGTAATTTAATACTAGGGGGTATCTTAAGTATTACAAAATGAAATCTACTAACTACCTGGTACATCAGAAGTGTGTGATAAGCAGACATTAAATTAAAGGAAAGGCATTTTTAACAGACAGATCTGTGGATCAAATGATTTGATAAAAACTCAGATGATATCATTCTCTATCATACATGTGACAATATATTTTAATACATTATATCACCGAGTTCTTACAAAATGCATGCATGTATGTATTAAATATGTTCTATTTACTTTGTCCCTTAATCATCAATGATACAAACTGAAAATGTTTCAAAAGAATTAACTTATTTTGAAGGTTTCTGGGAGTGATTTCTGGTTAGAGGGTTACAAAGATAATACAAAGGTATACAGCCGATTATAGGAGATGTCATATGCCCCCCCCCCTTCCCCCACCCCTCCCTCAAAGATGGGTCCAACCCCCCTTCAAATCTCTCACAGGCTACGGAAGTCTCGATCAATCCAAAATCAAGAGTTTTGAGAAAGTCCCCCCCCCCATTCCTGTCAGTTACTGGTCTGTTAATCAGAAGCTAATTAACTCTTTGATCATTCTGCTAATTTTTACCTGTCTATACAAGAAGGCTGCCTCTCTAACAGCCGACCTGCAATCTAGCTAAGGTACCATCCACCAAAGGTACATAAAATACACATCTCAAACTGACCACCTGGTACTAATGAGGACCATTATTTATTTGGTATGTGGTCAGTCATTCTTTTCACCTTAGAGTATACAGCTATCAATGTATGCATATGCTTTGAGCAAAATAGATTACATGACGGGCCTTTATTTGTTTACTGGGAAGAAATAATTTAACACCTTTCAGGAAAAACACCTCCAGTGGTTGACGGATTAACGATTTTACACATCTCACTTCTACCAACTTTTCAAGCTGGACCAGCCAATATGTGCATTGAAAATTTCCTGTTTGAATGCAATTATCACACAAATGATGAGGTTACTTAAAAATATAGTCTGCCTGCCTCAAAGACAAATGGGAGGAAGGGGGGTTGAGGCTTAATCTTAAATTTAAATTTTATTCACTTCGCCTGTCTAATCCAACAGCATGGCAGAAAAAATTTCTATCCTGTTTCTAAAAATCTAGATTTTCAACCAAAAAATAATTTAAATTTTATGCCATTTTAATTTCACTGTTTATCTTCTTATTCCATGTCTTAAAAATTCCCTTTAAATCAAAAAAACTTTTACTAATGATGACTCATACAGTGTTATTACCAAACCTGAAACTTAATTTGCATGACGGTAGATAATTATCATAATGTTACATATCTAAGAGTAGACTTGAATGAAATTCTTGCATGATGTTTCACCATAAACATTTCTACAACACAGAAGAATGCCTTATCAAAAAAAAAAAAAAAAAAAAAAAAAAAAAAATGAATATACGATTTTGGTAGAATTTTGGTGTAGGCGGACAGGTACGCGAAGGTATCGGCAACAACTGTATTCTTACGTGGGCCGAGAGAAATCTTATCTTTACGTACCAAATAAAAAAGTAAAAAAAATAACATCAAAGTTTTCGGGTGAATCACTTGTAGTATCTAGATGTTTATTTTGCCATCCCCCTCATTTGTTTTCAGTACCTAGGATCTGACATTCCTGCAAGTTGCTGTTTTTCATATGCAGTGTGAGGGGATTAAAATTCCAGAAATGCTCCAACATGATGTGAGACAACAAAACTGTTCTCAAATCAAAGAATTTAATTTATGTTGCTTTGCATTTAACATGTTCAAGTATTTAGAAATAATATTAACAGGAAAAATAATCATAATAAATGTAGTTAATTAATTACAATAAAGAGTTTACAAGATGGAGTGATTATGGACACATTATCAGACAACTATATATTCTAAATCTAATCCCCTCATATTCTTAAAGTCTCCCAACAACCTTCCACTCATACAGAATAACCTTCCCACCCACCACATGCATTAGCTCAACACTCGAGTTTAATCTACGAGTATACTCAAAACATCAGCAATATACTGATAAGGAGGGAGAATGTTCTGCAATTGTCAACACATTCCTCCACGGTACGGAGGGGAAGTCGAGACACTTCATGGTGAACTTTTAAACCAGCAGATTCCGGAAATCAGCTCCTTGTGAGGTGCTTGAAACTCTTGAAATTCGATCTCAGTAGGTGTTACATGTACATATTACAGTAGTTTTATAAACCCAGAGTTCCTACACTGTACTTTATTGAATGGGCGAGTTTTATACTGATAGTTATTACATGTATACATGTATATAGAAATTTTTCAAATGACAATGGGTATTTTCTTTTTTCTTACTTAGCAGGTGTTATCATTTACTTAATTTTAATTTCCAGGTACATCTAAGCTTTTAATTGAGAGGAAGGGCATACTCATGTCATAATTGTTTTTAATATGTAATCGAGTGAGTGTTTTTTAAACAAAACATCAATTACGCACTGAATTACATAACACTGCCCTGTGGCACTTTAAAGAGGAATGGTCAACTTCATTCTACAAACAGGTACAAGCCACAAAACTGAAATAAACAACTGCCATAATTGAGAGGTACATCAATTAATTAGCTTTATAGTAAACAGTAGCTGTGTCAATATTTGTATCCTTGCATCCATCTTTCAGCTTAAGCTTCCAGGTCAAAGTGAAACTTTGCAGTCCTCAATATTGACTCATATCCCAGACTAAAGTAATTACTCAAACTCTACACCATAAATGTCACTCTAACACCCACTGTCCAGCTTTATAAAACCATTCAGTAGCCTTATCTGTCCAAAGTTGTTCATCAATTTTGTGTATAGGGTGATCGATTTGAATGGAGAGTTATCTACCCTGATAAAAGTTGCCCAGCCTTTCAATAACTCCTAGGATGTCTGCTGATTCTTTGTTCAATCAACAGAGAGCATCTACAGATAGATTTGGGTCATTGGCCATTTATTCAAGTGATTTTCAGGTAGTTTATTGCCTCAACAATCATTTGCTAAGGAGAGCACTATACAACTTTTGATCAAAGCTCAGGCAAAACATACCATCAACCTATACCATGATGTTTGCTGAAAGAAGAACTGGGTTGTTTTAATTCTTCAAATATCAACCATCTTCCATTTAATACATGTACAATGTCTTCTTCTCAAATCTCTT